CCCGGCACGAAGTGGTTAAGTCCGCGAAGCAGTTATGACTCTAAAAGGCTAAAAGTAGATCTTGCATGGGGTATTAGAGGATGAGCCAGTTCGGTATTCACAAAACAAGGTCTTTCAGGAATAATGTGCACGCATAAGTCAGCGTATGGCTGCAATAATGGGACAGGCTATTGTGAGTGTGTGTAGCTGTTCTTGATAGCCTCATACTGAGCAAATGTAGTTGGAATACTGAACTGGCTCATTGATATTTGAATATTTGGCAGCGTCTTCATGGTTAAGTACACATGTATCTGGAAGCCATCTATGGGTATATGCATACCTTTCATTGTCGGCGCAAGGCTCCGTGCTGAAGTACTCCAGCTCAGTGAACAGGTCTCGGAAGTTGTGCGCCATCAGGGGGTCTCGGATGCCAAGGTTCTGAAGCTCTGTCAAGGAGACAATAGCCGATGATGTATTCCTGCTTGGCTGGGGATGTGATGTGTCAGTCTTCTCACCAGCCAGGTCTGACGAACGGGGGCAGAGAAGTTTCTTGACAGACTCAGAGAAGTCGTCATAAACGGTACTCTTCTCTGGAAAAGACACCATGAAAACACTTCTGAAGCCACTTCAGTCAACAGATGGTCTCTCCATCTTTATATCTGAAATGATCTCTGTCAAGCCAAAGCAAAGTCACCCCCAAACAAGTGCAAAAATCAGTTTCATTTTTACCTTGGGAATATCAATCCCTCCTTTATCCTTCAAAATCCATCAGCAGGTATGGAAAGATTTGTGGCCTTTGAAGAATTCTCAAGGATTATTTCAGGAAGGTAGAGTCCAGATATTATTACTTAGTACATGTACTAGATTCCCCTTAAAAAGTTTAAAAGGGACCATGTAATAAAACTATTCTATGACAACCCTTGAAACTGCACCTGTGTGTTTGAAACAATTGTTTGTGGCTGTTTTAATCCATATTCTGGAGCCTTTTGGAATTTTATTCTAATGGTTGGCATATCACGAACAAAACCTTGATGTCATCCCAGGCACTCGACTTCAATGTTGCACTGATTTGTAAACAAAAATTGCCCCAATTTGTCACATTTCACTGAAGTAAATCTCCATTTCTTCAGCAACTGATTCTTGTGTAAATATATTGCAATATGCCAGTGAGCAACTTTCTCTCAGAAATGTTTTTAAAGAGAAAATTTGAGGTAGAAAAGTGGAACTCGAAAACATGTCAACTGAACAGTGTCTTCCCAGATTTAGATCACAGCAGCAGCGCCCTCACTTGTCAGGAAACACTTGGACACCTTTTAGTGTTTCAAAAGTACACATTTCATAACACTTCAATCCAAAAGGATTTCAAACAGTTTTCTTACATTGAAGAAGAGCATAAAGATGCACAAAAAGTGATTCTGAAACATTTCAAGGCATGGATCCATTTAATGCCATTGGGTTCCTGCAGAGTGGCAAATTTCAGAAATTCAGCAAGTTTCCTCCAACAGACTTGGGGAATTGGAATTAAAGAAATATATTTGGCTGAGTTCGGGCAGCTTGTTCTCGTATCTTCAGGAACAGCTCGATTTGCTATTCTTGGTTCAGCCGCTTGAACACTAGGAACATACAACGCGTTACCGGTGGTAGTTAGTGACAAGCAACATGCAACATGGCGGCGTCCCATCATTACGTTATTCGAGAGTTAATGTCTGGAAAGTTGGGCTGAATTCTCTTCTGTTTAAACAGGAACATTCATTTCTGTGTTATGAAGAATAATTAATGTTACTTTTTCAAAATTTCCTATTGTCTCTGGCTTTGTGAGCCATCACTCTACTTTTTGCAATGTCTGCACCTGTTCAAAATCAAAATCTCACAAGTTTTCTGTGTGTTCTTGTAAAACCCTGACGAGGAGGTGGTGTGTGATCCTGTTCCGAGAACAGTGTTCTTGAGTCGTGTTCCCACCGTTCCAGCCCAAGAACAAGAAACCTGTGTCAAGAACAGGCCGCCTGAACTCGACCTATATTTTTGGAGATGCAATCCAACTCATACTCACCCGGATGATATTTCCTCCAGACCAGAGACAGTTGTCCCATACTTTCCAGAAGCTCCATGCATTTGCCAGCCAGGAGAATCTGCCTCAAGACAGGCTGCAGAAATGAGGGCACTGCCACCCTTTCCAAGTGCCCTGCACTGACTCTCCCCTCCTTCTGTCTTTGGTCTGGTCCAGACGGCTGTGCACCTGACTGGGGGAGCTGGGTGGTACCATGTTTACTTGGAGGTGTGAAATGGTGGAGGGTGAAGGCCTTCTCCCAAAAATCTGGGGACTTGACCGTTATTTCTGGATTTCTGAAACAAGGCCCAAAACAGGTGCTCTCCATTCAACGATTTAAAATGTGAAGTAAGAATTTGGGAAATCAGTCAAACTGGCCATATTGGTAAAGCACTGTTAAATCATTTCAGCAGGTGTGGGTTTGAATCCTGTCATTTTCAACCCACCTTTGAATGACAAACTCCTGTGCTGGGTCACACAATGGGTACCCAGACAGCCAATTGTCCAGGAAGTGAATGTAGGGTCGGATCGTCCCCAACCACACCCGTAGTAATATCAATACCTGACACAGAATACAAAAAGAAAGCAGATTTGACTCAGCCCAACAAAATGAGTCTCAAGTCGAGAAAGCATCATCTGGATTTTTTGGCTACGGCTGCCAAAAATGTATGATTCTATGAAATTCACTAGCTAGTGGCAATATCCATTTTCCATGGAGTGTGTTAATACTAGCCACAGCCTTGTGATTTGGATGCAGCCCGACCGAACAGGTTGACTCTAGAATGTTGGGATGGAATACCAGTGTGAGAATATATTTGTCAAGTCTTTATACTTAAGTCAAAACTTGGCTACTTTTGTTACTGATACTAGAACTACGCCATTGGATTTCAAGTGAAGTTCACTGACAAAATACCTCTATCTAACGACCTGTCATTAAGTCTACACTACAGATAACTTTAGCCATGTGACATAAATCGGCTGCAGGAACATGCCGACTTTTTGAGATGTACTCTGAAATGTGTCTTACATTTTCTTCCCTGTGTGTCCCTTGCTCGTATTCTGCCTCGATGGTCCCCTGGAGCGCTGTCAGTAGGAGCCAGGTGCTCTGCGCGCAGCTTGCGGGTTCGTTCCGGGCCGTCCCCGCTTGGTAGACCAGTTCCAGCAGGGCCAGTCTCTTCGCCCATGGCTCCAGGTCAGCGGCAAACTTGGACAAGGTCAAGCTCGTTTCTAAGATAAAAAGAAAAGAAAAAGGCAGTATCAAAACTGATCCTATGCTTTCTCGTAGGAGAGTTGTGGTCCAGTAGTTTTGGTGGTTGACAAATGCCTGACGCTATATGGGTTCGAACCACAGAGGTACCCTTGTCTGTGCGTTCTTTGGGGAAGACACCTAACCTCAATTGACCCTTTCCATCCAGGAGTTTACAATGGGTACCTAGGAGGGTAGAGATTTAATTGTATTGATTTGGCAAGCAACAGAGACTGATCTCATGGCACAAAGAGCATGGGAAGTAATACTGAAGTGCTGGGAGACTTAAATGATAAAGCACTGTGTGAGTACCAGTGTTTATACTCTCAAACTTACTGACTGACCCCCGGCATGCTTGGTGGCCAAGTTGTAAGACAACTGTGCTGTTAAGCAGGAGTTTGTGGGTTCGATTTCCACACTAAAGTCTATGAGCGTTCTTCTCCTGATTGTCTGGGGTAATCATATCCCTTCTTCACTTTGAAGTATTTTAAATTTTTTGCTTCTTTCTAAAGCCAACTTGATTTCTTGAGATACCTTGTTTCGCAATGTCTCTCTCCCAAGCTGTGAGCTCTTTGCGGAACTCCCACAACATTACAGACAATGCCTCGGCAAAGCTCTCAAAAGTCTGTCCTCTTGTCGGGTCATCTTCAATTGGTTCAAGAAAGGTATTATATTAGTATTCAGCATCATCTAAATACCTTTCCGTAAAAAGCTTCAATTTGAACATCATTCCATTTCAAGAGATTTAAAGGTAACTAGTATTTTTTCCCAAACAATTCATAAATAATTTCACCAAGCTTAGGCAACTCCACTGGGGTGTCTACCTGTACAAATCCCTGATATAACATAGCCCATAATTGTACAGTATTATCAATGGCATATTGTTATTTTTTTAAAAATATGATTGTCGCTCCAACCCCACACACTTCAGTCATTTGATTTCAACAGTCCTAAAAATGTCTTTCAAAATACTACAGTCTAAACGTTAACATAATGGATTCAGGGGTTTCGAAGCAAATATATCAACAAAACAAGGAAATATGTTTTTCCATACCTTTGGCTTTGATATAACTCATTGGTGCTGCCCTGATAGAGTCCACAAATGATTGCAATGTCCAGGCATTTGTGCATGTCTCTGCAAGTTTTGATGTAAACTCATGCAGAGCTTTCTGTCGGACAGATAAGATAAACACAAGTTGTTCAAATCACAATGACTGCATCCCTGTCTGTGACACGTTCATAGAGGCTGTGTTGAATCAATACGGGCGTTTCACAATAGCGCACTTCCAACGGTTTGCAATGTGTTTGCCAATCACAATGAATGAAACATGTCAACCTAACGCGCGGTTGGAAAGGGTCAACAGACGTCATGCGTAGTGATTGGCCAAGGCGTTGCAAACTCGTGGAGGCGCACTACTGTGAATAGCCCGTATTTTGTAGATGGTCAGTAAAAATTAATGCTTGAGTTTGGAAGGACAGCATAACTCAAGCACTCCATAGCAAGCAAAAGCCTTCAGTTAAAGACTTTATATACTATTTTGTGCCTTGCAGAGAGGCATTCAGGCAATTTTCTCACACAACTAACAATACGCTGGCTTAATTACACCCTTTGCCTGGTCAGCAGATAATACGGTTGGACATTTCTTGGCACACAGGTCCTTCAGAAGTAACAACCTACATGTAAATCTTACCGGGGTGAGGTGTGACACCTGGATGTCTTGCCTGGATGTGAACTTGCTGTCGTGGAGTTGATAAACAAAGGAGGTTTCTGCACCCATCAACACCCTGGGAAATTGAAAGTCAGTGTCAAGGGATGAGAAAATTACAGAAACTTTGCTACATACATGTACATGTATATCACCATATTTTGGTCCGTCAATGAAGTACGCATGGGCAAAATATGTGGCATCTTGACGGAGTCCCATTATGTGCATTTTACATATTTACATTGTCGTCATTATCATTTGTGTACACCACATACACAGAGAGTCGACTAGAGAACAGAAACTCTAGCATCACACTGTACGTAAGCTGTTGCAAGGTCATGCAGTGCACCACATGGTACTTTAGCCTTGGGAATGTACAGTGTGGGGCAACAGCTGTGTTATAATATTATCTTGTTAACTTACAGCATGCTTAGCAAAGCAACCAGAGTTAAGAGGTTTAGTGGTGCAGTGACAAACATTTCAAGATAGCAGGGAAACTTTACAAACTTCAACTTTGCTGTTCCTTCAAAAACCTCCAACTGCGTAGGAACTACCTTCCTGCATCCTTGAAAGTCCACAAAAACCTCGAATGGATTAGACAGGATCCAAGAGGAGTCAAGATTTAATGTTTGGGCCCGGTGTGATCATGCTCATGGCCTTACCAGATTGTCTCCCGGATGATGTGCGTCTCTGTCAAAGTGTACCTCTCGCCTGCTGGGGCAAAGGGGTCTCGCTGCTGCTCGTAAGCTCGCCTAAGAAAGCCAGGAACGATTCTCGAATCAATTTACAGACCAAGTGCAAAAAAATGAAAATGGATGGGTCTGGTCTACCTTAACTACACATTGGCATTTTGGCTAGGAATTTTCCTACCATGTTGTTGTAAACAATTTCTCCTTAATCCTCAGGTTGATATTTGAGCATAATAAGCCACGAGGGGCCATTCTATGTTACCAGCATGTATGCCAAACACACCCAGGCAAAAATGATGGCAGCATCTGTAACTTGATGTACACAAAAACCTCAATGAAGAATATGCACCAAATTGTCACCGTTTTCACGAAGAGACGCTTTGGCCCAAAGTCACGACTTTTTCACATTTCTGTTTTTTTGGCAGAACTAATTAGGCTATGCGATGCTTATAATTTGGTGTAATCTTTTTTTACCAAATCTACTGAATTTAGCAAAATCACGATGATCTGCAATTTACATTTTCACGAAGAGGCGAATTTGTCTTCTATACATATAGTGTTAGCAATAAAGGGAAAATTCATGGGTAAACTCATTTCGCTGTTTTCACAAAGAGGCGAATTTGACGCCAGAAAAGTATATAAATGTAACAGTTTGCACCTGGCATGTGCTATAGCAAAATAACACGCGTTTTTACGAATAGACAAAAGTGGCATGAATTTTAGAGTTGTCACAAAGAGGCAAATTTGTTTGTTTACAAAATAAACAATTTAATTGACTTCTATAAATATTACAGTATCTGGCAGTTTTGTGTTATTTAAGATCCCCTCTTTCATATAGTAGCATCAGTTTAAGTCAAAGGCATGCTAAATACTAAGGAAATAAGCATTTGAAAAGACCAACTTAAACTGCGATTTTCTTGTAACCTAGGTTTACTCTCTGGTGAGAAATTTACCTCTTTGTGAAAATAGTGATGATATGCTGATAGCATTTGATGAAGCACATGGTGTTCGAATGCCCTAACAGAATGGCAATTTTGGTATTTTCAGCCCTGCAGAGTGCATCTGTGCGCTGACAGGGCCAACGAGGCAATGTACCATGTGCTGGCCAAGGAGGCTGCACTGTGCAAACCCTGGAGGGCGCTGTCCCTGTCCCCTTCCCAGTACTGCACGATGACATTCCTTGCAAGCCAGCTTCGCCCTCGATGTCCCTCTCCGAAACCCTGGCTCCTGATTGGGTGCCCAGAGACAGCGTGTCCAATCGGATGCTGCAGAGCCGCGGGACTGGTTTCTGATTGGTCAGCTTGAATTGCAGAGTCATCCAGGACTTCCTCTTCTGACCATTCCTGGGAAATGCAATAAATATAATCACTAACATTACTAAAAGCTTTTAAAATTGTCTGACAAATAAATTTGAAACTTTGGGAAAAATCAAATATTTTGAAGTGTTCTGTCCCAAGAAGCAAAATTCCAATGACAGCTCAAGATGCAACTCACAGAATCAGTTTTGAGACTGAATAGATATGTTTCATCACTGATGGGATTACAAATATGGGAATTCTTACATCAGATGAGGAATCTTGGAAGCTAGGGATAGGGGCCAGTCCTTCTTGAAGGAATGCACCCCAGTCAAACTTGTCTTCCTCTCCTACCGAGCAAAGAAACATGGAGAAACGTTGACACCGGTTACTTAAAAACAAAAGTATTTCCTCAATAAACACCACTGTTTTTGGCTGTATGACCTTAGGATGGACACAACGAGCCTGACACCCTATTCCAGAAGTCAACTTCGTCTCTGGCTTTGCGTTATTTAAAAGCTGTTATTATCCAGGGATTCAAGACCAACTGGAAATACTCCCAATGATGACAACAGGTTCATGGACATGGTGTTCTTGAAGCAGCATACAGACCCATGATATATGGATTAAGCTGGAGAGCCCTTAGTCCTGGAAGCTATGATTTGCAGAAGGCAAAAGTTGGAAAGTAAGCCAAAGTTTGGTAAACCTGTTAAGTACTGTATATTTCATCTGGATGGAGAAAAAAATTCTCCACTACCTACTTTGTTTGGGCACATGCTGTGTCTCGGTATATGTCGCATTTACTGGACTGTCTGATAGATTCAACAGGACTGATAACACAGAATAGTGCAAATCCGTCTGGAAGAAAAACACATCATACAGTGTATGCCACAAAATATACAAATCCAAGAAGTGGAATCATGATACACAAGGCATCAAATCATCAACAGATAATCAGAGCAACATGTCAATCCCTATGGATTCCTGTGAGGAACCTTCCTGAATCTTTAAAATCTACTAATGGACAGGAGCCATGCAGGACTTTCTTTACTCTTACAACCTGCCAAGTACCAGTAAATCCCATGCAAGGTAAAGCCATATCCAAATCCGGAATTTTCCGCCTTTTGGTTTGGCCATGGCCCATTACCACACCACAGTGGACAGCCATAGCTACATGTATATATCAAATTGTTGTCCCAGTCATATCCTACAAAGCTCTGCGAAACCCACAAGTGGAATAGGATGAATCTGCGATGGTCGCGGCAAGAACCATTACTTATTTTGGTTAATATCCCACCTCGCTTGGCAGCAAGTAGCACTTTGACCATCCCTGTTCGTGTTGGTGGTAGGAGAAGCGAAGATGGTACATGCCGATTGCAAAAAAGATAATTTACCTTTGCATCTCGGCTTTTTGGTGACAGGGGGAGCTGCAGGAACTTGTCGGTCAACTTCCGCAGGGACACTGCTTTCTCTAGCTGGGAATGGATCTCAAATTTCTGAAAGAGGCTGGAGGAAGTACGGAAAGTAATGCAAATGTGTAATTAACGTAAACTTCTCTTATGCTAGCATCGTTTTTGAAAAAGGGAACTAATGAAGGCCAGTAAGTACAACCTGAGTTGTCCATTTTGATAAAACTCCAGGACAATTTGTATAGGTGTGGCATTTCAATCAAGTGACACTACATTGTTTACAAAGCACATGGCATTTTTACAAGAGTAAAACTTTTATTTCACCTACCCTTGGAGCTTTCTGGTAATCTTGTGACTGTCAACATCCAGATATCGGTGGAACTTGAAGTTTGACAGAGCAAACTGTAAGGACCGACGGAAGTTCTCATCATTAGAATCCTGCACACACATGAGATTGACAAAGGCAAATTTTAAAGTCACAAACAGTAAGTACGGAGTCCAGCTTCTGACAAGAAAGAAATTGACCTGCAGGAACACCCAATCACACAAACTGAACTGTACTGTTCTGAAGGTTCTATAATGTCCGTAAATATTCATCGCAGAGAAAACACAATGAAAATTTTCACGAGAATCACATTATGACACATTTTCCTAAAACAATGGCCAACGGAAAGCAGTCTAAAAATTCAAAATGCTACAGATTTGGAAGAAAAAAGGTAGGCCTATGATAAGCAAAACTACCATATTACTTACCACCATTTCAAGTCACCCCACCCAATTCACTCCATAATTCTTAAGTCTGTTATTTTAGGACTATTTGATATTGTTTAGTATTTTAGTCTTGAAAATTCTTTACGATATTGATGAAAGGAAAGAATTCTGTTTTATGGACACCACTTTGACTTTTCCCTGTAGTCACCTAGCCTAATCATCGGAAAATAATGAAATGTCCAAAAAAGTCAAATTGCGCAAAGAAAATGTTGAGGTATTCACTTTAAAATCATTTAGACCAGTCTCGTGGGTTTTACGCTCAGGGTGTCAAGCAGCATCCATGTACATATGGAATGGAAAGAGTTTCATGAGCGGAAATCAGTTGACTTTTTAGGACACTCACTCTCTGAAGGCTAATAGGTTACTGCAAGGGAAAACTAGTGATGCTGGCATATGGAATTCTTACGTGTACATTACCATGGAGAAATAAAACACATTCCTCCGTGCGTGTACCTGCATGTAGTCTATGGAAATCTTTCCCCAATGCTAACTGCCAGTACAGTGATGACTAGGCAACTCAGACAACTTGACCATTTGCCAACTTGAATTGGAACAACTTGACTGTTGAGACAACTCAACCGGTGAGAAAACTCGAGCATCTGTGCCTCAAATGGACAGACAACTTGACCATTGGGGCAAATTGTCAATTGAGACAAGTTGACTTGTAATGAGTGTGCTTGTGACTTACAGTCACATTGCCCACACCTTTTCTTCAAATTAAAAATGTGAAAGGACTGGGGGATAGATTTACTGTCTCCCATACCAGAAAATTAGCGAATGATCATTGGTGCTGCCGAGGTGCCTGTCCAACAAGCATGGATTGTGCGACATGAGACCTGCCGGGGCGACACTGTTGATGTACATGTACCTATAACGTGGCGTGGCCTTTAATACATGTACATGGCACATTTTGAATTTTCACCTCTTGTGCCTTGCTGGAGATATATTTTACCTCAAATTTCATTATAAGTTAAATTTCATCAAAATTTCAATTTTCTGATTCAAAAATCTCGATTTTTCTCACCCGCTTTAAGTTCTGATGAAATTCTACATGTATTTTAGCTTTGTCTTTTTGAAGTGGAAATAAACTCTTTTAAAATGCACCCAAAACACAAAATAATTTTGTTACAAACTTGTGACTAGAAACATTCATGACAAGTTGAATAAAGCTTTTAAAGTGAACACTACGGAGCTCTGGAAGTGCCATCTGACTTGTTGAGATCCTGACATATTTTTTCTCGGGATGAGGACACAATCAAGGCAAGATGTCGACATCCTGAGATAATTTATCTCTGGATGACGACATCCTCGGATAATTTATCATAGGATGATGACATGCTAAAAGTTGGATGTCGTCATCCTGAGACATAGGTGTGGCGAGGTAGGAACCAGCAGTTTCACCACATATTTTTACGACCGCAAAACACGCAGAGCACTTGTTTCACATGTTGCAAATGGAACTGGGAAAACATGTAAACACACGTATTATAATTGAGAAAAAGGTTGTTCTCAGGTGTTCGTGAAGACAGAAAAGAAACAGGATTTATTTATTTGTTGTTCTTATATTTATCAAATTTGTTTTCTCTAAGCTTAGTTGATAATTACAAATTTTAGGGTCTCGCCGAAAAATCAGGGTCGGTCGAGAAATCAGAAGCATTGTTTTGGCCCTTGCAAGTTGGATTCTCCGACTGTTATTTGGTTACTAAAATGTTGATGTTATTATTTGTATCATTTAGGCCTGTGCCTCTGTTACTAAAGAACAGAATGAATGATAATCAGTGGGGTAAAGTAGGGATGGGACGAAGTGGGAATGGGGCAAAGTTGGATTGGGGTACCCCTGAACTGTGGGTCCAACGTCTGCCCTGCTCCCACGAGTGGGGCGACCTGGAAATGGGGCGAAGTGACCACACCCGGAAGACAATGCTTTAAAACACAAAAGCACTTCTGGTCACCTGTGCATTTTCAAGGTGGTTTGTCAATGCACCCAATGACAAATCATGTCATTATTCCACTTTTAGGATGTCGTTATCCATGATAATTTATCTTGGGTTGTCATCATCCCGTGAGAAATTATCTCAGGATGTCAGCATCTTACCTCTACAGTTAGGGAGTCCAGTGAAACGGCATCTCTAAATTTTTTATTTCTGGAAGCGTGTAAAAGTGTTTGTTTTCAATCAATGATTTCTGCCCCTTCTGCCCAAACTTTATATTTTAAAAAGTGTTGCAAAAGAACTGAAATTTGTGTTTAGTACCATTTACTACAGCATGTCTGTTTGAGTTGAGTTTTGGGTGTAAAGTATGATGAAAATAATAAAAAACTGTGCGCGGCCATCTTTGTTCGTTGTTGTGTGACGTAGTCTCGTCTAAGCCTATTATCTCGCGAGTTTCACCCGGGTTTGGAACAATGATGTCATCATCTTGTCTGCTTGTAGGGCTTATAATACTCTTTCATTTGATGTACATGTATGACTCAAGGCATCTGACCAAAGCACCGTCAAGACTTGTTTTGGCTTGTGAAGACTACAAGAAGGAAACAAAAAATGTGCATTTTTCTGTTGAAAATCCCTAATAAACATGTGTAAGGAGCTGATGAAACATACGTGTATATGAAACGATGTTTATTTGGAAGCTTAGAATTTCAGGAAGAAAAGGAAATTTTGTTTTGGTAAAAAGTCGATGTTGAACTGGTGCCAAACAGCCCTTTTGTATTTGGGTGTTGTACAACTGTGCACATATGGTGTATGCATGTGCATCAGGCTGATGGATGGTGCACAGGGAGTAAGATGCAAATAACAAGTGCATAAACCACACGTTGTTTCAATCAAAATGTTATCAAAAGACCCTGTCAAACACAAACAGACTTAAAATGATACCTGACAGACTTGGTCCCCTATTTTGTAGCTACATGTATTTATTGATGAACTTTCACACATCACTAAAAATTTTAAGCCCAACTCAACTGTCTTCTTCCTCCATGTCTTCTGCACGTAGCAACAGATTCACTGAATCTATGTACATTTGTATAGCCACGGGAGAAGATGGAGTGACAAAATATTAATATCAGTTCCTATCCCTGGATTTGTTAAACTCAAGAACCTGATCCCTAAAAGGGCTGATTGACATTGTTGAGACTACTGCATCAGGAAGCCTGTATCAATCTCTAAAATTTCTGGGTACAAAGGAATTCCTATATGCACTTCAGTTCTGCTGTGCGGCGAATCAAGTTGAGAACTATTTCTAGTGACTTTTCTATGCGGTCTTGTGTTTTGACATCCAAGAGGGAATGTGCACATCTCTAGCAGACAAAAGACTGGGCTTGAATGCAGTCCAATTTGCCTCAGCGGATCTTACACTATGAGCCTTGGTGAAGTTATCCTTAACGATCATTATATCTTCCTTCACTCCCTCAAAATCAGCTTTTGAGTAGAGATAAATTCTCCTGTCCTGCCTGTTACTGTATACATGTACATGTATCCTGTGTTTATTATTGATAACATTCTCCATAATAAAAGATATTATTTACTTTACACTTCCTCTGTGACTATACATGTACATGTAACTACAGATCTTTGTCCAACTCTGGCAGGTCTGGAAGTGGAACCGATGAGGAACACAAGACTCCCTGTGGTTCAAATACATTGATGAAAATAAAACTTATGTCCACCCCCCAAAAGTGACGGACTAATTACACCTTATTTTAATGTGATTTATTACCATTAGCACCCTGTTCCTATAATAAGGAAACAAAGTCCACTTTCTCAAACAAACTAACATTTTGACCATAAGGAACCATTACTCAATCCTGATAGGGGTAGTCTAAGTAAATTTTGACAATATTTAAGCAAGAAAACTTCAAATTTTTAACCTGAGTTTGGCAAAAGACAACCACTCGGTCGAATGATGCCATTTTGTTTTTCGTCTGGTTACCCGACTCAGGCTTTTTGGATTCATCAGGGTACAGACCACTAATTCAAGTGAGAATTTCTGGCCAGCTCATTAGCATTGAAAGTGCCCCCACAGTATCTTTTGAAAAAGGAGATTGTTTGCCCCCAAATGGTGATATTGTGTAAATCCTTGCCAAAAAATCCTTGATTTTGTTTTGTGGGAATTTAAAAATGTAATTGGTTAACCCACAACAAATTGAAAAGAAACTGAAAGATTAGTGACCAGACAAGAATTTCATTTGTGTTTCAGAAATCTCAGGGATGTTGGCATGCAAGTTACTGGGCCCTGAAAAGTGCTGATTTTACACTTTTTTCAATGGGGCTTGAAAAATTCATCCAGGTCAAGGAACCACACTACATTCGATTTGTTGCTCACAGCTCTCTTCGGGCGGTCATGTGTATGCTATACCGTTTTAACCCCCCCCTCAAATTCTCTCAAAACCCAAAAGCCATGTTCTCTTTTCTTTCTTACATGTTCTTATATGAAAGAGTACACCACCAACAACTTGTTTAGATAAGTTATTTCGAAAAAGTAAAATTTGCACACCTAGGCCTATAGGCCTAATAACAGGGTGCTAAAGCATGAAAGGTGGGCCTACATCATACCATGATCATACATGTCTGACATGTACACGGTAATGAATTCCATTTTAATAACACAAAATTCATAACTTAACTATAATTGCACTAAATTTTATACCATTCAATTTCTTTTGAAATTCTCTTTCCAATGGTACTAAATTTGTGGGGATCAAATTAAAAACCTGAAAAGTGCGGGACTCCCTAAAGTGTCGTCATCTCAAAAAATCTCATCACAGACTTCTCAACAAGTCCGATGGCACTTCCAGAGCTCCGTAAAAAACTTTACGTAGACGATAGAAATAAATTACCAGTATCACATGTACATTCTGAATAACACAACACGAAGTGTTTTCTTACTTTGAAGCTTGTCAACTTCTGGATTAATTTCTTCGCCTCCTGTTCGACTAAACTCGAAGTCGAAGTCTGCGCCATTTCTCCGTCGAATGAAATGTCCACTGGTCTCATCCTAATACTCTACGCAATTGCAATTATTGAAACGCCAACTGGTACCCCGTGTGGTGAGATAGACTGGCGCCCTCTATAGTTACGTAGTATCGGCCTCTTGATTTTTATCCACCATCATGGGTATGTGACTACCGCCATCCGGCTTCAAAATCCACTGTAATCGGCATTTTCAAATAAAGATTTGGCCCTCGGTTGCCGTAGTTTGCATTTTAGAAACTGAAAGTACATTCCCGTGTTATTTTCACTTGGTGAAGTGAGGAGAATTTGTTTAAATCAGAATGTTGAATATGTCGTTTCTTTGCGCACATTCTGTAAATCATTTTACATGTATATAATGTAAACGGTCATGCTGTTCACGTTATTTAGCGTCAACAAAGCGTCGATACGTCATTCAAGCATATTTATGCAAATATTTTACATTTGCAATATTAATCAGGTTCCTACATATCATATTTAGTGTATCTTAGTATCGGAAATTATATTTGAGTGTTGAAATTTGAGCGACAAATTTGGGCCTGCTCGTGCAGCCCCGACCGGCCGCCATCTTGTTTTCGAATTCGTGTGGACGGACGAGATATTATTTCGAGAACTCAAAGTTACAATACTAACCAGGGTTCTCCCCACATACAAACTTGCGTATCGTGCCCGATACCCAATTATTTCGGGGTTCAACATGTTTAGCACTCTGTTCCTATTTTAAGGGAACAAATTCTACTTTTTCGAAGTAGGCCTAGCCTAACCAGCTAACTAATCTAAACAAGTCGTTGGTGATATCCTCGTACAATGAGAGAACTGCGCTTTTGGTTTTTGAGAGAAATGTTTTGGTAAAACAGCAGCGTTCACGACTGCCCTGAATGCAGCTGTGAACGACAAATAAGCGAATGTAGTCTGGTGCCTTGACCTAGGTGAAGAATTGTTTTGATGAATCCAAAAAGCCTGAGTAACGTAACTGGACGAAAAACAAAATGGCATGATTTGACTGAGTGGTTGTCTTTTGCCAAACTCGGGTAAGAAATTTGAAGTTTCTTCCTTAAATATTGTCAAAATTTACCTAAACTACCCCTTTCAGGATTGAGTAATGGTTCCTTAAGGTCAGAATGTTTGTTTGAGAAAGTGGACTTTGTTTCCTTATTATAGGAACAGAGTGCTAATGGTAATGAACCCCATTATTCCCGTCAGATATGCAAAAATGCGCTGATACCTTTTTCATCCATGATATGCACAATATAATTATGATAATAGGCCTATGGCTCAGAATTATCTTACATAATGCAGATTGCATGTCTGGAAAATCTAGATGAAAAAGCAGTTAATAGTCCTGCATTTTTCCTTGTACATGTATACTATAGGTAGCCTACATAGTGCATGCACTGTGCACCACACCTTGGTGGCCACACTGCACACCGTAGATGTATATGTACACGTACGTCGGCACCAAACGTTCCTAGTGGTCAGTGTCGCATGAAATCTGAACTTCCGTCATGGGCGTCGTACATGGACCTGTGTGCATGTGTGTTTTCTCTGTGCCATGTGCTCAATACACTAGTGGGGCTGCATTTACGAAGGTTAAAATTTTATACTATACCATTTGCAGAACTTACAACATCGACACTACACATGTTTTCGCTCATGGCGGCAGTCGTAGCCCTGTTTAACATTATTAATGGCATCTATTACAGGGACGATATTTCTCGTTGCCATTTCACCGCGTTTTGTCTCTTGCACAATAGCAGAAACTCAATTAAAGAAAGGCTCTTTTTTTAAGCCAATAACATCAGCAGTCCCCGCTGAGCGCATGTGTATTCCAAGCCCAGGTTGGACAGTGTCTTCATTACATTACAAGTAACTCCCAGGATATAAAGGTATCCTAAGATTTTACAATAACTTTTGTTTACATTTTTACTTGGCTAGTCTTGTTCCCAAATCCATTATTATTTTGTTTCAGACTACAGGGACCGCGAAACAGTCCAACTCAGAGCACATTTGAGCTGTGACTAAGAGCTTTGTTCGAGCAAGTTACTCATGTTTGGCAGGAGTAAGACCCCTGGGCCAACGAGGGTATACTCCCATCGCACATACAGAAATATAATGCGCGTACACCACACTCTGGTTGAACTGGAGGAGCTGCGTGAAAGCTGCCAACCACTACTGGTCCATATTGCTTGGTACCCACTACCCAGGTTATGTGCCATGCATGGGTTACCATGGAAAATTGAACATTGGTTGACAGCATGCCTTACGTTTTACGATGCTCAAAGAATTATGTGGCGATTTCATGTCTGTGCAAGTAAAGTATCCCTATGTGGGTTCATACATGCGTGGCGCTAGACTGGGTGACATGGGCCAGTGATGAGTGATCAGCGCTGATGAATGCCTTAGGTGTAATTAATGTAATTCTAACACAAAACTGATACTAACTTGGATGCCATAATCCCACATATTGTGTTGATATTTTAAGAGCTGTTATTGATTTGTTAGTCAGACAGTTTGCCCAAGTATCTATGATTTTGTTCGGACAAACACAATAAGTGCTCGGAAAATGTCTGATGTCCGACCGTAATTTCGCACTCTGAGTTGCTATGCATTTCGCGCATGCGTGCGCATGTTAAGTCTTCACATGTGCAGTTGAGCAGTTTGTGCAGGATGACTATGACAGAAGCGTGGAGTTGTGATGTATTTTCTACAAATAAGTCACCCGAGGACAACCCTTTAAACAGAAAGACAGTATTTGGTAGCCATTGGCTCCTAATGGGGAAAAATCTAGGTGCCAGCACTTTTATGAAAATTTAGTAATCACGTTTGCTGAATATTCATGAACGTACGTACACACACGTAGTATAAATACCCTGCGTTTACATCGTCCATCCATGCTGAAGAATCATGACCTGGCACGGCACACGTCCACCACACAACTTCCATACTAGCGCCAATGAGGTCAATCCACGAAATCAGGGTTTTCGCCAAGGGTTCAGACACGTACGTTATGATGTCCGTAGTTTCAGTATGTTGTTGGACACCCTGCTGCATGATTTGCGCTAATATTTGTTGCACTCTGAATCACAGCGACACCCTTTAATTCTGGCAAAAAAGCAGCAAAAATGGAGTCCATGCCATTTTGTGAAAATGGCCCTGGTGTCCATATACAGTGCATCAACAACGTATGTTTTGATTGGAAACCAACCAAACCGTGCACGTGGTCACGCAACACATGTAATGTATGATATATGTACAATGTACATGTACAGCTGGGCGGCGCACTCGGTGCGACGCGGTGCAACTTGTGCTGCCATTTCTACTTTTCCGGAACGAACTTTGAGTACATAATCATTCCTTTTTTTGATTTTTAAGCATACTAAAAACTGTTCCAATACATTTGTATGTAGTTTTTAAGCTATCTTAAGTCACAAATGGTGACTGGATGGTGAAAATATGATTGCATGAAGAAAATTTTGGTCGCATTTGCGACTGATTTAGGCGCTATTTAAAGCGTTGCCAAGGACATATTCCTAGACCTTTAAACGGGCCCTACGTATACTTCTTCTTTGATACATGTACTGGGCCCTGAACTGATTGATAGTGATTTCTTTTAGTCAAGTTTGTCTGGCATGTCCTTTGACTTAACGAGTTCACATAGAAGAAGCTATTAAGCTTTAAGAAACAGCCGTCAGTTTTTCCACGAGTAGACGGACTGACAAGTACTAGACTGACGAGATTTACACGAGCTGAAGTCTGGGTTTAATCTAACAGACAGGCTGTCTGCAAAAGTTACCATTAATTAACCATACAAAGGAGTCTGTGTAATGTGCGAGTCCGGTCAACATTATCTGGATAGGGAAAACGTACAACTTTAAGCTTGTGGAGGCAACATGTTTTCCTCCAAATGAGGGTTAGGCGAGTTTTCTGCAAATAGAAATCTGCGGGATATATATAGCCCTGTAAGTAGTAAACTTGACCCAAGTCGGGATTCTCCGTGACATCTGTATTTATACTATGGATACTGCGGCTGTGCAATGTTACTTGATTCGCGCCCTCTTGTGTGAGTTCGGAAATCCCAACTTGACCAATCTGCCAGCTGTTTGTACACGGCGAATCAGCTCATCTACCAAAAATGGTAGCAGCCATTTATTGGAAATATGATATATAACTATTTTGATTGGTGGAAAACGTAAGTCTGACTTGATTGAAATCTACATAAGTAGTGAACGTACTGGTACAATTTCAGCTTATAATATCTAGCGGATGTCTGATAGTGTCACCGGATGTGCCGGATGAACTTGATAGAAAGAAATCACTATCAATTGGTTCAGGGCCCAGTATCGACAGAGTCTACGTAGTGCCCTGTTTATAGATCTTGTGTATTCCGACTCATTTCACATGTCAATTATGACATGACAGTGTATGAGAAAGTTGTGGTAAGTCTTGGATCTATCGTGTTTTCTTAAAATTTGTAGATAAAATGAATGAAATTCATTAAGCACACACCATTTTTCTTTTGTACTCTTGTAGGTATCTCACGGGACAGGTGGCACAAAAGACGAAAGACAGGTGGCCGTCGTAAGCCCCTGCGAAAGAAGAGAAAGTTTGAGTTGGGTCGCCCACCCGCCAATACCAAGGTAGGTGCTCTTTGGAATGAAAGACAAGTAAGACGGTGACAAAAGTAGTGGGCCCTGCAGTGTTAAAGTACCTTACCCGGCAAATTTCTGACATGTCAGATAAATTCGCTGCTTTCCATAATCTCAAAATACCTACAACTTTCTATTGATGGTGGCCACACCTCAAAGTTAAAGGTTGACGACCCTAGTTGAGATGATAGGTCTACATGTAAACCCCCAAATTTCTAGGGCTGCCAGGATCTGTAAATTCTTCATATGCAAAGTTGTTATGAGGACGTGTGGCTTAGTGAATTTCATACAGCTGCGCCTCAATCAGTGCAGTGCGTGGCCATGATAGCAATGTGGCATGCATGGTGGTGCAGTGCACTGGCGCCTTGGCAGCACCAATGATCAGTCGCTAGTCTGCTGTTGTGGGAGACGGTGAATCTGCCCCTCCAGTCCTTCCTCTTATTTTAATTTGAAAAAATGGTGTGGGCAATACGACTGTAAAGAGCAAGCGTGCTCATTACGAGTTAATTTGTCTCAATTGAGGATTTGTCCCAACGGTTGAATTGTCTGTCCATTTGAGGCGCAGATGGTAGAGTTGCTCCACCAGTTGAGTTGTCTCAATGGTCAAGTTTTCCTGAGTCGAGTTAGCAAACAGCCAAGCTGCCCAAGCCCCGGGCTCTGCTCAGTGCCCACTCTTTGTTTTCCATGCCGGCTCTCCTCTTTCTCTTATCTAAAGTGCAGGCCTGTATTTTGCCATCACATGCACAGGTCATTGGATCATACATTTAGCCATGTTAGTCATTAATTTTTGTTCAAGCAGTTGGCACTAAATCAATACCATGTATCAGGGGCGTGAGTCTCCGCTTTTTAGCGGATTTCCACTTTTTTGTTGAAAATGCCAAATTAAATTTTTTGCTTTTTTGCTATCGATGGGCCAAATTATCTTGCTTTTCTTCCTTTCATAAGCGCTGATTTTTCTGTTTTTTGTTTTTTTCTATTGACGCGATAGCCAGGCCAAACTTTGCCCTTCTTCTTTCTGACTGAATCTACTGTACAGGTACATGTACACTGCACATGTACATGCACGTATATGGCCCATACGTGTGTACAGATCTGTGTGTGGGCATGAATTCGGCGCGGAACAAGCCTTATGTGTAAAAAGCATCCTGTAGCCATCCAGTCATTGTGCTGTGATTGGCTGCCAGTGAAACATCAGAATTCATAATGCGTCCGTGGGACTCATTGCAGCCGTTCCTGCATGAGCGGAAGTAGAGGCTAACAAGTTCTACTATAACTCGTGGTAGCATACATTTCATTGTAAATTTGTGGCTTGAAGTGAGGTTAGTAAAATTTTGCTTGTGCTGATAGAGGGCTTCGTGACAACTGGTGCTGAGTGCAAAGTTCTTTTTGTGTCATGCATTCTTGAACGGATTTGCATCGTTTTATATGGGCTTTCAAACAATTTTTGGACATAAACTCTTCAAAATATCAGTGCTACATATGTAAAATTGTCAAAAGAGGTTCTGACCTGGATACAGCCTTTGATAAGACCGACCCCTAACCCTAACCCTCCTCAATCCTTCACCTGTTGGAGGACTGAGGAGTGTTAGGGTTAAGTTACAATTTCGTGGAAATTGATGTAAATGCAAATACACCGTAGACGTGACGGGCAGGCAATATGGTCTGTGCTTGGAAAAGCCTGGAATGCGATGTAGGCGTACACACATGATGTACATTATTTCAAGAACTGAAATTTTGAAAACATGCTCAGATCAGGTGGGAAAGGGCCTACTCACTCTAGGGACGGCAACCATTTAGACCCGGTTTGAAAATGCCCCCCCCCCGTAGCCCACCTGGTATAATGCCTGCCCGGTATCAGGCCTGTCTGCACATTGGCATTTCAAAGTCCCTGATGAAAGGCTTCCCCCACCATGCTTGCACAGATAAAAAAGGGGTCTAAGCGGATTAGTGTAAACATTGTATAGAGCTGAAGGATTAAAAACCACAAGCAGGTTCCTTCTGGGATAGATTACATGTACCAGTACTTGCAAACAATAGACACCAGGATGGAGAAGTTCCAGATCAACAACAGTCCAGCATCCCAGGCTGGTAGCCAGGCCGGAATGAAAGGGGTTTTTGCAACAGGGTGAGCTTACTGGGGGGGGGGGGCCTTTTCAAACCGGGTCTAAAGGGTCGCCGGCCCCTACAAACTTTGATATTTACCATTTTGGTTCCATATACAGGCAACACTTCATGCCTCTGTGTACAAACCTATAAGACTTTTCTTAACCCCCCCATTTTCTAAGCAATGTTTCGGAATTTTCTCAACTATTTTTCATTTATAGGACATGGTTTTTTTCTGATGGCTATTTTAAGGGAAAATTAGTGTTGTTCGTGTATGTTACTCGTTCCATTCATTTTAACCTCTTCAAGAATTTCAGACAAATATGAAGAAAAGTGAAATTTTGCATATTATAAATTATAAGAAAAAAAAAAAAGATCAATGGTTGCACCAGGAGGCAGAGCATCTACATTTAAAAATTTTCCTTCCCGGACCCCATGTCGTATATATGCTTTGCGTTCACGATTTCTGCTATTTTCAGCTATTTTTTAATATTCTACTCACACCTGTGATATATTCTGCGGTGGGAAATGAAAGCACGGATTCAGACAAAAATTGTTTGCAGTAAAGTTTCCAAGTCCGTCAAAACACTGTGCATGGTCAGTTGCCATTTCAGTTCAACAGCAAAAGCAAAAACACAGTCCATGGTCAAATATGCTCTGCCATTACAGAAGCATAAAACTCTGATGGAATATTCACTAATAAGTTCCTGTATTACTTGTACCTTCTTAGTCTTGAGGAGCAGTGCTCATTGAGATTGATTCTACTGAATTGTCTGGTTTCATTTTCAGCTTGGCTCAAAGCGTATCCATCTGGTGCGATGCATGGGCGGCAACATAAAGTTCAGGGCCTTGCGTCTGGAGCAAGGAAACTATGCTTGGGGCTCAGAGAGTAAGAACATTTTACACTTATGAAATGGTTGTCAGCCAAGCAGGAAATTTTGCTTAACAAGTTCTTGTGCTAAGTGAGCCCAGAGTACCAGCCATACATGTATAAAGCAGAATTCTGTGAATGAAATTTTTAGTTGGTGACCAGTCTTTGTTAAGCAACTATTGACTCTGATTTGTAAGTTTCTGTGCTTGGAGGCTTCATGAAAATAAGTATTGCGAGGTCTCCAGTAATATTTACAAGTTGTGCTTTCATCAGAGTATGGTGTGGCAGAATTCCTAAGTTAGGGAAGAGGTTTGTAATTCCCTGGCATCCAGCTGGCAGAATGATGTAAAGATTAGTCTTTCAGAGGGGGAAACCAGGCCGTCTGGTGTATCTCCATGGTGAACTTGTCATAGTTACAATGACTGCGTGCTTAATAAATTGATGCTAAAGCCCAACCACTGATATGTGTTAATACTTAGGACTTAAGTGTTATCTGTCTGCTTGTCACTGTAATAAGATGTATTTGGACAATTCTTGACACTTGACTTGACAAAATCCTCCAATTTCAATATGATTTTACACACACTCTGCGTGTAGTAGTGTGAGGACTAAAATTCAAATTTTTGAATTAGTTTGAAAATTTGAATAACCTGGTATTTGCTTTTTGATTCAAGTATTCTGATTTTAACATAGTGGGTTTGTTGCAGCTCTACATCCTAGTGAGATAGGGTTAATCAGGCAAACAAACGCTACTTGCTGTGGCCCAAACATATCCCATTTTCATGTTATTGTAAAATGTAATTGAGTGGATTATTTTGCAGGCAGACACTTGTCTAGTTTCAATATCTACTGTGTATTGTCTTCATGAAGCCATTGCAAACGCAAATTACCCGAAATCATTTAAATTTCTTCATATCTTTTTTGTGCCCTGAAGCATTTAAGACCAAACGGCCCAGCCAATGTTGCTTGGAATGCAGGTTGAGGTTACCAGTTACATGTATAAGTCAAAATGAAGAACACTAAAGGAATCTTTTCATCAAGGACATCTATGCTTGCTAGACTAAAAGAATGTTTACCTTTGTGTTGACAACCTCACACCAGACGTGGCTCGCAAGACCCGTATCCTGGATGTTGTCTACAATGCCAGCAACAACGAGCTGGTGCGTACCAAGACTCTGGTGAAGAGTGCCATTGTGCAGGTTGACTCCACCCCCTTCAGGCAGTGGTACGAGGCCCACTACGCCCTTCCCTTGGCCCGTAAGAAGGGAGCCAAGCTGGTGAGTGCTTCACCCACTCTAAAATTTTTGTGACTCTGGACTGAGAACCCTTTGGTCTCCCTGAATCGTTTCCTTGAATCAACTGATGTTTATTCATGTAGGTTACTAAAATTGGAAACACTGTACAAAGTCCCAAGAAGCTTTAGAATTTTCCTTATTTGTAGAAGTGCCAAATTCATGTATTTTGCGGATATTAAAGTTGTGCTGTCTGATTCATATAACAGAGGCTGAAGATCTTGTGTCTTTTAGAAGCTTTGATGTACATATACTCAGCTGCATCAAATCAAATCATTGATTTTTTTTTCAACTCGCAGACGGAGGCGGAGGAAGAGGTGCTGAACAGGAAGCGGTCCAAGAAAGCAGCCAAGAAGTACGAAGAGCGCAAGAAGACAGCCAAACTGAGCCAGATGCTTGAGGATCAGTTCAGCACAGGGAGGCTGCTTGGTAAAGGAAACTCTTCTCCCACTTCTTCCCATCCTTCCACCTTCCCCTGTCCTTTTCCCCACCCGTCTCCCTTTCTGAAATGAACTCAATAAATTTTGCCAGTTAAATGCGTTTAGGTCTCCAGAAATGAAACATTTGGCGTGCAACATTTTATGCACTTGGATATTTTCAAGCTCATGCATTTTAGCTACAGATATGTAAAGTTGAAATGAAAACCCATTTAACTGGAACAGAATGTTGTAGTGGATTTCTCAGCACTATGCTGGACAAAGACTAACTGTGGCACAGTTAAGTGTTCTCTTCCCCCTACATTTTATGCATGGGGATTTATATTCAGAGAATAAAACAGTTTTTGAGTTCCGTTGGAATCTCGGATCTTTTTTATAGCCAGTTAGGGTTAGAATGAAAAGATGGAAACACAACAGTGTTTTGGAAACACTTTGGGGTAAGACTTTTTTGGCAGAATGATGTAAAGATTAGTCTTTCGTAGTGATTGCCTGCCGTTCTGGCATTCAAGGTGGTCCCAGTGAAGACACGTCATAGTTACACTGACTGCCTTATAAAACCCCAATCTAACAGTGACTAACAAGTCATCTACTAGCTGAGGTGTTTTGTAAATGCATACTCCAACATTTCTTGCCCTCGAATGAGAAATAACGACCTTTTTTAATGAAAAAGGGCAAAAATGTTGAACATTTTTCTTTGTTTTTCTGAATATTTTTAGCTTGCATCACGTCCAGACCTGGACAGTGTGGGCGAGCTGACGGTTACATCCTGGAGGGCAAGGAACTCGATTTCTACCTCCGAAAGATCAAGTCCAAGAAGGGAAAGTAAGCAAGTAAACAACGGCATCACCAAGTAAACAGAATAAACAGCAACATGACTTCGGATATGTACAAAACAAGGCCACCTGACCGAGTTTAACTCTAGATTCCAGTTTCGTAACAGTTGCTTTCTGTAACGGTTAGCATTGTTTTGTGAAGAAATAAAACACACCTCTATACAGATATCAGTCTTTTGTCTGGTAAAATTATTTTGGTGTTTAAGCCTTTTAGGGGTTGTCCCCTCCCCCAAATTGAATTGAATTTTAACTAAGTTGATTTTAAACAGCTCCCAAGGAAACAATGCATTTGGCCTGGTAAACCAGGCTTCATTGAATCTGTTATAGAGCAAAAGAAAAATTTGTAATGAAACTTTTACATCAAGGTAATTACAGTACATGTATATTGTCAACTTCTATTACAACTGAACTAAAAAAGAATAAAAGAAAAAAAAAGAACTAACAAGGAATTCAATATCTTTGAGTATTTGCTCTTTGTAAACAATTAGTTTTTGTTAAACAATGCCTTTTTATAATGATTGAAAATCAACTTTATAGGTGTGTGAAAGCAGTAGTGTAACTAGTGTAAAATTTCTGGGTGCACACGTTTGTGAGCCACACTTGTGAAGTTCGACAATTCCTGTCCTTCAGTTTTTATTTTTACACTTTCAAGTGATCCATGTTAAATCGAATTTCTGTCTTCACTAAGCTTCTTACGGGTAGTGATAGCTGTAAAACTCCCATGAAAATCTGACCAGTGGAAGTTCCACTATTTTAGGTTTATGAAGTTACTTACATTACATTACTTCAGCCTGGTTATGGGATAGTGGGTCACATTTATTCAAAGAAGCGCAGAAATCCCCCTGCATTGAAGTTGCTAGAAAGAATATCTGGTGTGAACTGCTTGGCGAGTTGTAGAGTGATTTCTGTTAAGCGACCTTGTGACACAAGGTGTGGTGCTGGTACTGAGGAGTGGCTTTAACAACAACGGGGGATGGTTCTCAACTGTTTCTACAGTTTGCTGTAAGATGGCATAGAGATCAAGTCTGATGTGATGTCTGCTACTGAAGAACAACCTGTGAATAGGGAAAAAATTGTATCTTGATCTGGTATCCACTCTATTCGATTACTGAAACTGTTGTAACTGATGTACATGTACAACAAAACCTTGGATACGTCAAATCCAATGGGACTGATTTTTTCCCCCCAACTTCAATGAAAATCTGACACACATCTGAGGTTTACTGCATGTAGTTGCTTAGCGTGATTGACTTCAAACTACACAGTTGTAATGATAAGGAGTATCTATACATGCCTGCCAAGTTTTAAAAACTTGGGAGCGGCGTGTTGAGGGGAGGAAGGGAGATTGGGGAGCGGACACCATCCCACCTGGCTGTGAGAGAGGCCAAAATAAGTCGGCTCTTTTAGGATTCATATAGCGTACGTATGTACTTGTATTTAGTGATTTGAACTTTGTGGCGTCAAGACTGTGGATTGACTTAAATGGCGACAAGAAACATGGCTGGACAAACACCATCTTTTTGGGAGGGCACTAAAAGTATGGGAAAACTTTTTTGAATTAATATTGACAAATTACATGTACATTCTTGAGCAGTTACTGGAAATTCAAGACTAACAAAAGTTACCACTTAAAGCCATGGCGAGGCTGAATTCCTCTTTCAGAATTCCCAGAACTTTTTCTACTCCTTTCGCACCCTATGTAAAACAACATCGAGACAAAACNTAATCCATGGAAGAGTTTATTGCTTAGGAAGATGCTTTCCAATGGCAATCTAGTACGATGTACTCCATTTCCTGAATCTGAGCATTCACACTCTGGTAAGTTTGTTTTTGATTAGCTGTTAAATGCGCTTCTGCTGAAAAGGGTGATATTTCCATGTCCTTGTTTAGACAACAGTTAGGCTTGAAGATTTTAATACGTACATCGTAAGCGAGGCCCCACAGTGCTGGTCGGCCGATGAAGACGGCTCGTGCACCCAAGGCAAGGGCTTTGAGGACATCGGTGCCTTTACGTACTCCTCCATCAAGATACACCTCCACACCGGAACCACGCACTGCATCAACGATCTCTGCCAAGACGTCAATCTGTTGGTGATATTAAACCAGTCTTCAAAATGTCAGCTACAGGCCTATTGAGTACTGAAGTGTGACGCCACTTTGAATCAGGAATTGCAGTCTAAATGAATGGAGTACTGGCACCTGTTGGTTCATGCACTGGTTCTTGTGCTACTGCCTTTTGTACACAACTGTGTGCATTACGTTTTCACTTAGCACTGCATGTATGAAGAGGTGGGAAATGGAAAAGCCCAGATGATATACTATTAAAGCTATCTGGTCTACGTGTAGGTACACTGAGCAGTGTCCATGTATTTTGAAGTAAATCGATCCGCATCAAGAATTTGCCTATTGCCAGCAGGAAATAAACTGTGTGACTACAGAAGCCAGTGGCTTGTGACTTGCAGCCTCTTCATGTCGTGGGGGAGGGGCATGTTATTCTGAGGCACTTTACTAATTCGGACTTTACCGTTGCTGGTACCCCGTCTAGCTGTCGGCCACCGTGGTTAGACACCAGGATACCAGCTGCACCGTGCCTCACAGCTTCCACTGCATCTTCAGCTGTAATACAGAAATTGAAGAAAGTGAAAAGATAGTCTCACAAAATTAAAGTTGCTCAACTGTAGTACACAGAGCAGCATCATGTACACAGTTACTTCCTAAAGCATGTCTTTTTTGCAGTAGACCTAATGGTATGCTTGTGTGGCACCTTGAACAATTAAATGACTGAAATCCTAAATTCTAGGGCCTGTGGGATTTCTTGGAAATCAACCTTTCCTAATGCTGTGTATGTGACCCGCTCTGTAAAAATAAGTAACAAGTCCCTGGAACTGCTTTCAAGTTTTACTTTGTATTAGATTGAGGAATTTGAGTTTTCTGTTGATGTGTCACTCAGTTTGGTACAACGAAAATGGACCTTGTGTAGGTGTTAACCACTTCCTGCTGGGGCATTTATCAATGTTGACGATGCTGGGGGATGTTTATCATTTTTTTATCATCCGCTCATTTACCGGACACTTGCAAACCCGTGAAGGCACTCTAACCAGACAGACGAAATCTATTGACGCCGGAGTATTTCAGCCAGGCCTGCAGCCTTGTAAAAAGATTTTGTGGTGTTACATAATATTCTTTTGTTTATGAACCTGGCTCAGTGCATTGCTGACCTCTTTTCAATAGGGGCCAGATTAGCATGCAGTGATACTGTGTGGCTCATCGCTGCGGTGGTTGAGCGCTTTTGTCCCCGATGGTAATCCGCTCGCTCTAAATGCCCCAAACCGTGGTACACTGTTTCAAAACAAGGCAGGAGTATCTCGAATTTTGAGAGTGAAAAAATGTCGGTAATGCCCAGCAGCCTGGTCTTTTGTTCCGAGTACGGTCTTTTGCTACAAGGCCCTGTTCCCTTTGTCCGAGTTTGGAGACCCCAGCCACGCGTATAAAGCATACGTGTCCGGATCCGGTGTCCCCGGCAGGAAGTGGTTTTAAAATGTTGAGGATTCCTATTGCTTAAACACTATGAAAGATTCTTTCAAAGGCTTTTAACTCTAAAGTGGCTCTGGCGACGTGTCACCCATTTTCACAGAACGGGTCACACATGTTCTTTATTAGGCCAATGTCGACGGACACTTATACCACATGCTCAATGCGCACAAATATCCTTCATCATGGGAGTCACTTGAAAGCCACTGCCCCCACTGTGTGAAGGTGCTGTATAAATATGTGGGATCTGCACAAGCCAACACAGAGCTACTCATCCTCCATCACGGTCAGACTCCTGCTTAAGCCTGGATATACCCAGCAAGCCAGAAATGAGACCGAGGGGTACCCCCCCCCAACATGTCCAATCCTTATATATATTCCAGACTATTGTCACTTAAACATCCCCAAGATGTCTGAAAGGAATTCCCGAGATTCCTGCGAGACAATGACCAACACAAAGCAGGGGGGGGGGGTTCTCTCTGTCTCATACGTTGCTGCTTATGGGCCTGGACGGATCAAGCCTACAGCTACTTGACGATGCAAGCTTGTCATTCTCACCTGTGAGAATACCTTTCAGCACGAGTGGAAGCGATGTAAACTGTTTTAGCCACAGAATGTCGTTCCATGTTCGTGAATCGGAAAATCGTATCTGGTCAACGATGTATCGCTCTCCAGGAAGTAGAATTTGAGGGAACCTTTTCAAGGAAGATTAACAATAGTCGCTAAGTTGTGTCTCTCAGTAGTAGTAATCAGTGCAAAGGTCTGTCAATGTAAGTAACTGCCTGTATATGCATGTTCACAATCCATCTAGGAAGTACGTAAACCTTTCCAATAGACTGTTGACGGGCAGTGTTGGAGCAAAGGCTTTGATCCATCACGCCTAAGTTGACTGGAGCCTTAAGGCCAAGGCCCTCAATTATAAACTCACTACTAATGATACAGCTTGTCCCCTGAAGAAATGCAACCCAAAAGTAACATTTACTTTCTCCTAAATAATTATTAGGGAAATTGTTGTTTTGGTATTGGGTTGAAATTTTAAATGTTTTCTCTTCAAAACTGAAGAATTTATTTAAATCCTCTGATGCACTGTAGAGATTATTTCCATTACATAAGACAACTATTTTTGTATTACTGTCCAAGGAGATTACCAAATGTGGTAATCAAAACCCTATTTCTACTCCATTTAACACATCAAACCATTGAGAATGGCCGACAGAATGAGGATACTGACCTACACAGAGTTCTGTTGTGTGTTAAAATCCCCTGTATTTACCATCAATGAACAAACTGTCTCCTGAAATACATGTATGGTTTGTAGTGGTTAATGTTTAATACAGAAGTAAATAAGATCACTTTGTTGTTGACTGAAAATGCACAGTTTGAACTGAAGTTGTTTTCTTTCAAACAAACTCACTGCATAATTGATGAAACAACCAGTGTCATCTGAAATAAAAACTTACACATTTATCTGCCATTTCATCAAGTTTAGAATTAAAAAAATCCAAAACAGTGAAGAACACAGTAAAGTAAATCTGTGTGGTAAGTTAGGATTTAAATTGAATAACTGCATATACTTGCAAGACAAACTGAGCTTCCGTCGGACACAGTTCCGCTACATAATTGAAAATGTCACTGCACTGCAGCATGAGCTTCAAATGAAATTTGTGGTAGAGTAAAAAACACTGTCAGCTTTAATTTGATACCACTTTTAACTACATGCATTACTTTGGGAGAGACTGAATGCTACCATTACGGCTGCAGCTTTTGGGTGACATGCTGTATAAAAGTGTACAAATCTAGGGTGTTCCCCCCCGGCAAAACATGATTAACTTAAAGGGTAGCTGCAATGGAATTGTTTATACACAAACCTTCAAAGTGCACCTACCTATAGATGTGTCTCAGATTATCTCATCCTCAAACTGTATTTCAGTGGGTTTTTTTGGTTTTTAAGCTAATGATATTTCTATATTTATGAGCAGAACTGTGATGTCATCCCAGGGAGCAAGCCTCAATGTTTCATTGGTTTGTACACAAGAAATTCCTGCTCTTTGCTTGACTAAACCTTATCTCTTTTGGTCAGTCGTTGCATTGTACGTAATAATAAGCAAGCAATCAACCCGTTTCCAGAGACTTTTTTTAGTGAATAAGTTCTGGGTTCACAATTTGAACACAAAATCCTTTCCAATGAACTAGCCTTGCAATAAACTGCCTCTGGATGACATCACAACAATGTCAAGGCTATGGCCATGGCCAAAGGCTTTTGCCTTCAAGCCTTAAGGCTAAGGCCAAGTCCCAAAATCAAGCCTTAAGGCAGACTTAAGGCCAAGGCTCAGCCTCAAGGCACTGCATGTACATCACTGGCATTGGATATTTTGTATGATGTTTAGACACGTTTTCCGAAGCTGTAACAATTGGTTTGACGTGTCCCTTTCGTACATCGAGAATGACTCCTTAATTGAAATTCATCCAGACCTTTCAGATATGTTTTTTTCCATGATCCAATCACACACTGCCATACTACTGCTGGTTCCCAACTGATAGGTACGGTCTTGCATCTACAGCTGCACCCACTACTGAAACCTAAGTATGCCATCAGTGCCATAGTCACAATTATGAGATTAAACTTACCGAATTTCCCTCACATCAAACTCCCTGCCTTGGTAATGGGCCCTTTTCCCCAGCATTGGTTCATCTACCGTTACCACTAGCGCTCTGAAGCCTGCTGCCTCAGCTCGTCTGATTGTTGCCTCCACTCTGAATCTGTCATGCATGATGGAGAGTTGATGCAACAATGGTGTGTCAGGGGGCACAGAGGCTGCGACGTCCTCCAGAGTCCTGTTGGACCACATGCTGAGAATCATGGCAGATCCCACACTTGATACACCTGAAAATAACACCAAACACTTCATCACTAGAGTCTGAAAGCAGAGAACCATACATGGTGTGACATTCTCATATTCAGGTTATCTGGTCATAGGGCAAGTTTCATGACAAGTACATGTATTTTAAGTGCAACCAGTGTCATCTGAACCATGGATGACTGAACTCCAGAGATATGTAGTCAGTTATTTTAACCCCAAGCGATGGTTGCATTGTTTGTTACAAATAATCTACATGTATTAACTAATAATAAGTGTCAGAGTTGTAATGAATCAACTAAATTTTGTGACTTGGGTTGAGTCAAGTCACTCAATGTAGTGACTCGGGTTGAGTCAAGTCACCCAATGTAGTGACTCAAGTTTGGTCAAGTACTAGTCGAGTCACAGTGTGCAGTGGAGTTGAGTCATCAAGTATTTAGCTCAGGTCAATTGGAGTCAGAAATAATTTATCACAATGCAACACATGAACACCAGAGAAAACTTTTTTTTAGGCCTTTTAATTCACATCTGGGCTCCTACACTTGGTGGCACAATACTCTTCATGAAAACATAAAAGATGCCAAAGATTTCCATCCAATGAAAGAGGTAAAGGAATCAAATCAATTAAAGACAGTAGCTGCCCTGGAAGTCAGGCCCTATGTGGGCATAAATTTTAACCTGCATTCCATCAAAAGCCTTGCCCAATAATTTACAGATGGTTGCTGTGCCACGGAGGAAGGAACAGACGTTGACGACTACTGTTTAGGATATGCATGTACATGTACATGTACTGAAGGTACCATATTGTCGACGTGATGTGAGCATGATAAATTGACACCTACACTGTATGTCATTGCAACTCTTTCTCACAAAGTTATTTTGCTGGAAAATGAGTCTTGTTAACTTTCACATGAGTCCAGTCCTCTGATGAAAACGAGGGACTTGAGTTGAGATATTTGCTCTCACTGACTTAAATCAAGTCCTTTACCTTTTGCAAGTTAAGTCAAATTGCCAGAAATTGCGAGTTGAGTCACTGACTTGTGTCATTACAATTCTGGTAAGTACAAAGTACTGAGGTACATGTACAAAATCGATTGGAATGGGCTATTTGTTTCTTAAAGAAATTTGAATTCCTCACATTCAAAGTGAATTAAGGGCTGCGAGGTCCAATGAATGGTACCCTATGGTGTCTAGAGATTTGTCATGTTGATTTCACCTATCATTCTTCCCGACTAATGATGACGTATGGCATTTGCTTCATGTAAGTCATGAGCCACGACAGCTAGAGTGCATTATTATGGCATGCAATTCACACCGATAGCTTGTTTTAAGTTCTGTACACCAAATGTTTTGCTAAGCTGTTTCACTCTTTGTGTCAACATGACTGTGCCTTTACTGATCTGGTGAGAAAGTCTGTATGTAAAATAAAGTTTCTGGAGAAATATGCACTTAAAATCATGTAAAATATCATTAGTTATCACATGAGTGTGTGTGGAACTCAGACGCACTAAATTATTCAGTGTTCCATATGTGTGCAAGCGTGATAACAAATTTATCTTGAAGCCAACTTGATGCTCGTGAAAGATGTTACCTATAAAAGGGCCTATGTGTGCAAACGTGCCACCTTTGAATTTAAATAAATTTTGCAGTTGCATTTTGCTTTCAGTGTAAAAATGAGGCAATACGTTGAGTTAGAACAGCGCTTTATGCAGGTTTGACACAAACTTTGTAATATAGTTATCACACTGTTTGTTGCCATGGATCGACCAATCAGAATTGAGAATTCAAGTTTGCCCGAAGATAAAAAACAAATCAGGGTAGGCATGAAAATTCGGCCTAAACCAAGCTCCAGAAATTTCATGAGGCAAATTTCCCATTTGAAAATTTAGTCCCCTCTGAACAAGGATTTCATAATTTATCCTTGCAGCAAGAAAGATGACATCAGCTCAATCCACCTTTCATTGCAGTTGGCCAGTCCACCCTGCTAGATGCATGTACCAATGTAAAGAGTGCTGGCCACTTACTCAGCTATAGTTTCAGGAAATTTACCGGTACAGACAACTTTACAGATCAGGATTTGCACTTCCTTCGACAAATGTACATCAACTGAAGTGATTAAACTGGAAAATATGGCTTACATGTAGAACTTTAAAAAATTAAATTCAACATTAGAGATTAAGTTTATGAAACTTGACACATCAACTTTCACACGCATACATGTATGTACGTCCAGTTATAGCGATAAGTACATGTAATTGTTCACTGCTGTGGTTTGGCATTTGACAGTAACAAAATCCCTTGGTGTCAAAAGAGATGCTGATTAAGAGAGAGAGAGTGTATTACCTTGCTCAAAACCTTAATTCAGGGGGCTGAACTCAGTTTTCTGATAAATGGAAATTCATGGTATGTTGCAAGTTAAAGCTTACCCTTGGCAGTTGCAACTTCTCCATCTTGGTGTGCAAAGCAGTGAGCGGCTGTGGGAGACACCCCAACAGGGAACGCAAGACGATGACCAAGGATAGAGGTGCTAGTGTCTCGTTGAGACACGTCCCTCAAACATCGAGGTCGAAGACGATACCTTTGTCCAGGAAAAGTAACCAGAAGACAGTCTTTCATATATTGGTAAATGTATTTTTTGAAATAAATAAGAATGAAGAGTTAAAAAAAATGCCCCTATAATCCCATGCCAAATCACACAACTATAATTCTTTAATTACAAACAACATTTTCGTAATTGTTTTAGCCATTGTGACCATTACCCTTGACTATTTTTACTTTAATTGCATCAACCAAAAATGATGTACAAGCCATATTTAAAGTTTCTACAATTTCTCAAGTTCAAACATCGACAAGACTTACTTTGTTTTAGTCACTGGGACAGTGACGTTTTGCCCCAAATGCAATAGATTCCTAGGATTGCAAAGAATAATTCACCAAGATCCAACCTGGATCACACAGAGTAACTAAGATCCACCTAGGATTACCAAGCTTAGTAATCCACCAAGATTCACCTAGGATTACAAAGCTTAGTAATCCACCAAGACCCACCTAGGATTACCGAGAGTAATCCATCGAGATCCACCTAGGATTAACAATAGTTATCCACCAAGATCCACTTAAAATCACCAAGAGTAATCCACCAAGATCTACCTAGGATTACCAAGGGTAATTTACCAAGATGCATGTAGGATCACTAGGAGTAATCCACCAAGAGCAATCCACCTAGGATCACCAAGAATAATCCACCAAGATCCACCTAGGATCACCAAGAGTAATCCACCAAGATCCACCTAGGATTACCAAGGGTAATCTACCAAGATCCACGTAGGATCACTAAGAGTAATCCACCAAGATCCACCTAGGATCACCAAGAGTAATCCACCTAGGATCACCAAGAGTAATCCACCTAGATCCACCAACATGTATATGTAGGATCACCAACAGTTAATCACCAATATCCACCTGGGATAGTAATAGGCCAAAGAGAGTTCACAAAAAGATTGGGCACACGCGAGAGGACGCCTAATCCTGGATCTAAACTTGACTCTGATCTATATGAAATTGGCTCAATAATTAAATGTGACGTCGACGTTGAAGATTTAATTAGAGTAAGTGTTCCACCACAAGTCTATTAAAGACGTGGCAGATTAACTGTAAAGTATTTTAAACCTCAGTTATTCCCCGTCCCTTATATAAATAACTAATTATAAACATGGACGGTTATTATATATCACCATATATTAGTCAGCTTTCTGAATTAATTGATGTAAACCTCTCTCGGAAGCGTACAAGAAAATGGCAGAAGAAGAGCCGTGTCCTCACAACAACAGAATGGAAATAAGAGAAGAATCTAAACTCGTCAGCCGCGATTGTGAATAAAGATTGTCAACAAAAAGCTCAAATCTAAAACGAGCAAAACATTTAAAGAATTAGACGTCAAATTAATTGGGGAACAAGCGGGTCTCGTCGAACATAAAGTATACCGAGTTTTGGCGGGGAAAATTTCCAGAGGCAAGCCGCTACGAGCTTTCATTGCCGTCTGTTATCAAGACGTGACAAAAGAAACTGCGGAAACTGTAAAAGACCTGTTTAAAATCTCGGGGAATCATTTTACTGACGCCGTCAAAAAGTTTAAACTTTATGAAGAAAATTTTTAAAAACCTATTCATAGTAAAATGGAGATTCCCACTTTTTATTTGTCCAAAAATCCTTAAATTGAATAACGTAATTGACAACTCGAAAGGCGACAAGGCCATTTTAGTTAAAAACATTTTGTTTGAAAAGGGTTACACGTTGGAATCAGATAAACTTGCTTACATATATTGTCCACAGTTGGATACCAACGTCAACTTTTAAAATGGGCAGTCGTTTGATTCATTGCAAGTGATTTCGACAAATAGACATTTCCGCAGTGATTTTGAACGCCTAGAAAGCTAAAAACATAAATAATAGACGAATTAACCTTTTATGTAAGGAGCAAGCCTGGAGGGCTTTTGCAAAATGAAAACGACGGACTAATGATCGAACTCAACATTTTTACGGCGCAAAAATAAAATGTATATTTTAAAAAGATGACGACCGACAGTCAGTCGAACGTGTACCCCGATTTAAGCGGGTATCAAACCGACACAAATGCGACTAAAATTTACAGCCTTCAAAAAATCGAAGACGACTGCGGTCAAATTTTAAGAGAACGAGACGCCAGAGAAACCTCTTACAAAAAGATCAAACAGCTATTGACCGCACTCAATTACGTAAAATACGGAGTAGAAGCAATAGGTGCCACTTCAGCCGCCATTGGCATTCCAGCCATTATTAGGGCAATTACTGGGCCCATAGGACTTGTGATGGAAGGCATTGCGCATTTGGCGCTTACGCAATATTAAAGTACGTCTGTCGCTGCCTGACTCACAAAACCAAAAAGCATGATCAAATTCGCGTGCTTGCAAATGCCAAATTAAATACCATCGACGAATATGTCTTGCACGCCATCGAAGACGGAGACGTGTCTCAAGAAGAGTTTGTCTTAATTTTGTCCAAGCTTAAAGAGTTCAACGAAATGAAAGAAAAAATTCGGTCAAACACGACGACAAAGTTGCAAGAAAATAAAATGACGAGTAAAGAAGAATTTTACTGTCAAGTGCAAGCAAAGGCGGAAACTTTAGCCAACGAAAGGGCGGATTTTTAAAAAAAGACCTCATGAAAAAATTTGGCGAATAACTTTGTCCAACTGTCAGGTTTTTGGAAGAGCAACCACCTGCTAACCAAAATATTTTTAAAAAAGCTTTTTAAAAAGCTTGATCTAAAAGATGGGACACAACTTTAGTCAATTAGCGATCGTGGCCAATAAAGATAATTGGTTCTCCGCCGAGTTTCCAAATTTAACTGCAGCTTACAAGCTACCGAGAGTTAAAACGGTCGAAGCCGCTGTCTGTTGGAAGACAGATCCCATTCCATTTTACCAAAATCACAAATTTAATTTCGCGGTCTATTGCGCAACGACGGCTTGTAACATTACACGGTGAGAAAAATATTTACGATTGCGTGATGCCCATCCCGAGCGACGACATATTTGACGCGCTGCATAACAATTACGACCACCGGAAATTTACAGACACTTGCCTACTGTACAACTTCTACCAAAATCAATCGTTTAAACAAATGAGGAAACTTTATCAAACGGATTGGGCACCGCTTATTATTACGACGACGTATACATACCGCTCCCAGGCAAAAACTACGACCCGTACGATTTACACGTAATAAACGGCAAATATGCGGGATCTACTTTTATGGGCTATGGTTGAGCCAAACCGCCTAAAGGCTCGGGCCACGCGAGTACTTAGGGCCTATACGGTAACTTAGATTACACAATCGGGCGCTGTCACATTGGTGAGATTTTATTCCTAAAAATCAAGCTTGACAGACGTGGGGGTCACAAAAGTAAATAAGTCTATTAGGACAAACGTGTACGCGCTGTTGGGAGCCCAGACAAAAACGAGCGTAATGGCACCTGGAACCGGGTGAGATGCTCAAAGTCAGTTTATAACGATCGTGGAATCCTTGATTGACTCGGTGCCAGATTTTGAGGCAAGTATCGACCAATTTCAAGATTCTTTACAGTACGCAAAAACTCCTTCAAACTTTGTAGTCGCACCCGGTTTGTACTTAGTGCCCTCAGACATGGATTTACGAATCGGAAGGTTTGAAGGATACAACAACAATTTGCAAATTGCGACTGAAGACATGCAGACCGTTTACGCGCCGAGTTTAAATTCTAGCGGCGTTCCAGAGACCACCGATTTTGACGAAAAAGTTACCAAAAAGTTACCAAAAAGGTTACCGAAAAGGAACCTATTCCGAAAATTTTACCAAAGCCGGATCCAATTTCGCCACCAACGGCAACTCTCGAAAAGAAACCGTTGGATATGCACAGCGAAGAAAAATTGTCGTTGACTGTTGGAACGATTGCGGTCGCGGGACTTGTATCTATGTTGTACAGTGTGTTAACTTGGACAAAAAAAGGCAAACAAAAATTAACCCACTTTCTCAATTTCGAGAAAATGGGTCCCCCCCAAATTAATCAGTTAAAACTACTTACATCTTTTGAACATAGGTCAAGATTAACACGCCCACACCCACAAACAACGTACACACGTGATCGGCGATCCAACCGACCGCTTTACTCGCCACGTTTAATATCTAACCGAGTATACTGCCGATTATACCCGGCAAAGCCGCAAGCGCCTTCAGACCCAATTTCTTCAAAACATTTGCCAAGTTCCAAAGTTGTCGTTTGATCCAATCGACTATACCACCTTTTGACAGCGGTGCCGGTGTTGGCTTGGGTGCGAGTTCTGGCGGTTCTGGACTAGGCGCTGGAGTAGGAGTACCAGCCGCTCTCAAAGAGGCCACTTTGCTAGATACAGTCGTACTCACTGCTAAACTTAAAGCCGTTAAGATGCTCGCAATCGTTATGCGTTCTCCTAAAGCACTCGGATCTTTTCACGTAGACGCTTTGTCTTCGGTAGACTTTTTGTAAAAATCGAAAAAGTGAATCAAGTCGTCGGCAAAGCAAGTAGGCGCCAGTTTCCAGTTTCTGTAGTTACCTTGAAAGCGCCGGATTCTTCGGATGTTTACCTCTTCGATCGCTTCCGGGTTAATGTAACCTTTAATTGCGGTAATTAGGTCTTTTCTTAGTACGTTGCCTTTTGTGCCTGTGGCCGTAAAGGGTATGTCGTTGTCTTGTGCTATCTGTAAGAGCTGACGATATGATTGTCGTGGAAGATTTTTAAACTGTTGTTGATTCGCTCGAATTGCTTGTATTAGTGCGGGTTTGGTGTGTTGTTTACGTTTAGCTGGTGGAGGTAATGGAATGTCATGTTGTTTGACAAAGTCGGATAAAAAAGATTTTTTTTTCAATCGTCTAAAGTCTGATAAGATGGGACGACGTTGTGATTTTGTTTTTGTATTCATGTTTCTATTTATATATAGGTTTTTAAACTTTTTTCATTTTTCTTCAAAGCTTCAGGGGAGAGCGATTGTGATTTTGTTTGCATACTCATGTCTCTGTTTTATATATAAGTTTTAATTTTTTCCCATTTTTTCTCAAAGCTTCAGGGGAGAGCGTGGTTTTCCGAGAAGTAGGGAAGTCCCGTTTTGGTTTGGGAGTCATGAGTTCTGGTTCGGGAAGTCATGAGTTCTGGGGGGGGGGAACTTACTTTTGGTTTGGGGTGAGTGGAAAGGAGGGGGCTGCTCTGGAACTCTCTTTGGCCTACTACTTCGATTACCAAGAGTATTCCACCAAGATCCATCTACATATTGTATTACCAAGAGTACTCCATTTAGATCCACCTAGGATCAACAAGAGTAATCCACCAAGACCCAACTAGGAGCAACAAGTGTACCCCGGGATCCACCAAGGACTACAAGAGCTATTCATCAAGATCCACCTTGGATCACAAAAACTAATCCACTAAGATCCACCTATACGCTGGTTTACAGAGTAATCCAGCAAGATCCACCCATGGATCACCATGAGTAATCTGATGTTTATATTCAATTTATTGTGCTGACAAGAATATTCTGGACATACACATGTACCCAAGGAAGAATAAGACAGAAACAGTACGGTACGCCCCTTCGACTTTGTCGGCCCGGCACTTATACTTGCTGCTCTCAAAATTACCTTTGGACGGTCATTTTGTATGGCTTTTATGGAATGATTGGCCATCCGAATTGTGCCAGTGTAGTCCCTTTTCTACCTAGCCACACAGACGGCTCTTACCTCTGAAAGGCCCGTTGATTATCTCTCAGTGTCTGTTCATCATCAGCTCCTGATCTGTAATATCTCCAGACGAAGTCAGACACGCTCGCCTTGAGGTATGGTTCAAAGTCCTCTACACAGACTGGCGTTGATGCCATGTTGATTGTGAACAATCCCGGTCTTCTGGTTGAAGTTCTAGAAACTTCAATGTCAGCAGACAGAGTTTAATGATTCATGCATAATCTAATATATCACAATCATTGGGGGTTCTGTGAGCCAAACTGGGCAATTTACAAGGTGCATCACACAGTGTAATTTATTTAATTAAGTCACTGATTTAATCCACAATTTAAATCAATTGATAATTGTTTAAATCATGGATTTGAATCAATTTTCAGAATTTTTCTCCAATCTACATGTACAATGTATAAGTTTCCAGGTTTTGCACATTTTAAATGGCAAATCTTCAGTCTGTGAGCACTTCGGTTCCTAGTATTGATGAGTAGTATAGATGCACGTGTGCAATATGCAATCTGGGTGGGCACAAGATATTTTGGTGAATGCAAGCAAGCAGTGTTTTGAATTGAGTTAGGCCTAGTACTCTTTTAAACTATGTAATTGGCTTACGAACAGGCGTCCTAGAGAAAGCGCAATTATTATAATTATTACTTGTAAACAAGCTTTATGGATTTGATGCATGAATTACATGTACATGTAAATGCGTGTAATCATCATTCATAGGAACAATGAAACAAATGTTTTCAGAACCACTTTTAGTGCACATGTTCAAACTTTTCTTTAATGCATGGAAACACTTTTCTTAAACAATCAAATTGACCATACTTTTCCCGACAAGCGAGGGTCCTGTTAATGTGATGAATACCCAGGAAGACACTCTACAGATCATGAAGGTCCATGCATAATTAGACCTCAAATCTAATGACTTTAACACAATGTTACCGTGGTGCATTTTGGGTGAAATGTATAGGAACAGTGGCATGCTTGCGCTGGAACATCGTACGCATGAAAAATTGTCAAAAGATCCTGAGATTGAGAAGACCAGCATATATGTGTATTTCCAAAATAGTCCATGTTAACTGTCGGGTGCTATTCTGTATATCAAGCACATGGCGAACACCAGAAAGCTTTTGTAAGCTTCCACGAAACCCCAAGTTTGCACCGTCTAAAGTCGTGTGAAGGTTCAGCAGTGTCCGCCATCTTTGATTTCTATCCCCACTTTTCATCCACAATGGAGTGGGGTAAACAATGAGTTATTTTTAGGTCTATTTCGATGCACGCCTTTGAAAGATGATCTCACCAATAACCCAAATAAATTAGGTCACCGATCAAACCTACATGTACTATAAGGAGACTGCATGCATTCATACATGACATTAGAGCAAGATAAAATGTCGGCAGTTGTACCTACATGTATACATACTGTACGTGGGCATGTGATAAGGCATTTTTTTCCACACTGGTCAATACTATATGCATACTACATAAATTTCTGTAAACGTTAGTTTTGTTAAAACCTACACTCTGGTTTTAAACCTGGTTCTTATCCTATACTCGGAAGGGACTGTCTTCTCTCTGGGTACGGGTATAGTAAGCTAGCTCAGTACATAAGTTATAAATTATTGAGTATGATTGTTGTGAGTATCCAGGAATGGTAGAATCAACAGTCAATGATACAATATTGAAGTTGATTCAATGGAAAAGTCTGGTGGATTCTGGAAATGGGCATCAAGGATCAGGGATCTTTTGTTCTATTGACCAGAGATGGTTTTGACGAAAATCTCTCCACCTGATGTAGCAGGAAACCGCAGGCAGTTTAAGTTTGCAGATATTTAGGCCCAAATTAAGAGTCCCTTTTATTTCAAGAATAATATGTGTTATATGAAACAATAAACTTAATTTGCATATACATGTATGTAGAAGCACCATAAACCTAAATATATGTACAGAGCATGATTACACGTTGCTTGACCTAGTTTAAAATTGTTGTGGTCTTGTGGCATGATGAAATGCATGAAAGTCTTACTGCGGTTTTCTGAATTTGAGTCTAAATAATTTTTCACTAGAACGTTAATTTTGCAAGTGGGAAATTTGGGGATATGATAAAAAATCATATCTGAACATTTGAAAACAAATATCAGTTTATCACGAGGGCATTTATGGGGGGGGGACTTGGGTGTACACAGGTCACATGCAGACTGTAAGATTCAATTTGTTACATTTCAGCTGTTTAATGGTGTGAGGTCCAGTACACATGTACATGCAATCTGTACTTTTGACTTTTGCCTGCATATCATGTGTTTTAAATGTTTGATTTTTGATTGATATTCCAATATTTGACGATGAAACCTTACATATAAGTTCCGAAATAAAGGCACGAATCTAAAAACCAATCAGCAATTTCAATTCAAGTATACACAGTGACATGAAAAGAGTAATTTAAAAGTTTTAATTAGTAAATCATTTAAACCTTCGATGTGCGTAAAAGCATAAAAGTTTATTCCTCTACAGTTCTTGCAAATACGTGTAATGTGGAAACTCCCAATGTTAATATCATTTCAACTTAAAATGGACAAGTGCCCCACAATTACAGGCTTTGAAAAGAATTTTTAGCTCATTACTCTTGTAAAAAGTTTTACAAAATAAAATTGTGAGTCAGATATTTGAAATCGTCTGATTTTACACACGTAACGTTTATGTTACTTCCTGCACAATGAAACTTTTAGAGAAATTTGGAAAGAATGATTAACCCGTACAATTTGTCCTTTGGAGCTGATGCGGCGCAAGTGCAAAAGTATTCAGAAACGAAAAATGTATTTAATAAAAATACGCATCAAAATTGCTTCTACGTAAATGTAACACGTTTGCATGAATTCATGTTCAAATTCTTTGAAAACATTTCTGAGAAAAGTTGGAAGTTGGCTGCCATGTACAGTACATGTACTTGTTCAACAATGGAAAATCTGAAATGGAAATCTTTGATAGTGATGTATAAAAAAGCTGGCAATTGTCTGTACACAAATCAATGCAGTTGAGTTTTAGTATCCCAGATTACGTCGGTTTTTGCTCATGAATATGCAAACTCATAATTTACCATAAATCATACATCAGTTCAATTGGATAACAAAGACCTGTGCCAATAAAAAGGCTTTCAATAAATATTTTTCTCACATGGTGTCTTTAATTTCACTTCATTTAAAGTACAATGTACATGTAATCAGCATAGGGCGTACACTTTGATCTCAACAAGTGCACGTGTATGTACATGTATTTTATTTCCGGTTTGAAATTTCCATGTATGCTGCTCTTATGTAGTGAAATCAAAACCAGTAGCACAATGCTCCCAAAAAGTGAGATTTAATCAAGCCTGGCACTGGAAGCAGAAGCAAGTAGGGAGGGGGACCTAGCCCCCCACTTTTTCAACTTAGAGGATTGGCCCTCCACATTTGGAAGGTCCTTTCATAACTGATGCATGCCTAATTTGCCTGATGGTCTCACCATGGTCTTAATTGTAGTGTTTTTCCCCCTCGTAAAATAAGAACACTTGCATTTAGATCCCGTGTACATTTTTCCCAGCAGTAGATTAGGAGCCTGCAACTTTTGACCCTGTAATGTCAAGCCTGACCCTGCAATGTCAAGCCTGACCCTGTAATGCCAAGCCTGACTCTGTAATGTCAAGCCTGACTCTGTACTGTCAAGCCTCCTATTTGATTTAAGAGTACTCCTACAAAAGGACCCACTTTTATTGCTTTGGCCTTCTTACCATTCCACTGGCAGATTTCTTGTCTAGGATTTATTACTTTGTAATTAGATTTACCCTTGTTCTTCTGGCCTGTGTACCCAACCATATTTTTACCACTTGGTCATTTTTAGCCAGTCTCATCACAACCACTCTCCAAGCAACATCTCTACGCGCAGTCTACTCCCACTCTCTCCTGTACAAGCTGTAAAATATACATGTAGTTTAGAATAAAAGTTTCCTTCTTAAAAGTTAGTACATGTTGTCCTTGTTCCTTTTAAACAACACTACTAAAGTCTCACAAATAGCCTCGACAAATTGCATCACAATCAAACCTACTGTAACAAGACTGCTCATAAATGCACACATACTGTAAGAGCAAGGTAAATATCAGCAGCTGTACTTGCATGTACCGGCCGGTGCACACATCATGTAAAATACAATGTAAATAAATGTACTGTGCATGTGATACATGTGGCATTTTTCACACACTAGTTATTAGGTAAGATTTCCTGGTAGTAGTCGAGCTGTCTTATCAGACGATACGGGCATGAGGTGTCTCAACAGCATGGGCGTGCCTGCGTGCATGCCGTTCCTCCTGTCTGCGGACCCAAGCCTCTTGAGCTCTTGAGACTAGGGCCCGCCATGTCTGAGGATCTTGGGCTAGACGTTCCCAGTCTGCTGGGAAACCGGCAACACTAATGTTGCGTTTCAACGCGTCTTTATAGCGAAGCAGGGGTCGTCCACGATTTGCTTCCCCAGAGACAGTTTGCCGTATACAAGGGCCTTAGGGATGCGGTCATCAGACATACGTAGGACGTGACCAGCACAACGAAGCTGCATTTGGGCCAGTATGGATTCAATGGAAGGCATGTTGGCTCGTTTTAGAACTTCAACATTAGTGATCTTATCCCTCCAGGAGATACCCATGATTGTGATGCGAAGCTGCCTTAGCTGGATACTGGATGGCGGAGAGCCTGTTTATGTGTTTTCTGTAGAGGGTGTAGGTTTCGGCCGAGTAAAGCAATGCGCTCAATACCACAGCCCTGTATTTCCGACTTGTGTGCTCAGTGATGCCACGCTGACTCCAAAGCCGGTCTTTCAGACGTGAAAACGAGGCAACGGCAGCTTTTGTCCTGCCATCAAGCTCAGCATCTAGGGTGTTTCCCACCGTTATGGTGGAGCCAAGGTACTTGAACGATTGGACCGCGTTCAGTGGGTTCCCATCAAACAAAATGACAGGTTTCACGGGGGTCGATCAGGTGCAGGTTGGTACAGTACCTCCGTCTTCTTGATGTTAATGGAGAGTCCAAAAGCTGTTGGTGATTGTGCAAAGCGGATCATTGTTTTTTATTTGATATCCTGAGGCGTTTAGCTGAGTGAGCCACCATTGCTGTGTCGTCGGCATAAAGAAGGTTGCACAGACAACACGCCAGCGTCTTACGATGAGAACGCCGACGGGAAAGATTAAAAAGGCCACCGTCCGACTGCGTACGGATGTACACGCCGCTGGTGAGGTCGGATGACATGTCTTCAATCATAGCAGTAAGGAAGAGGGCAAAAAGGGTGGGTGCAAGCACACAGCCTTGCTTGACTCCATGCATCACATGAAAGGACTAAGATCTTGCACCAGCCACCGAGACACTTGCCTTCGTGTTCGTATGAAAGGCCTTAATGATTGCGAGCAGCTTTGGGGGGAAGCCGTACTTCCCAAGGATTCACCAGAGTCTCTCCCCACAGTGTCGAATGCCGTCGTGAAATCCACAAAGATGGCATAGAGTGGCATGTTTTGCTCAATTGCCTTCTCCTGCAGCTGACCGATGGCAAATATCATATCCACAGTGCTCTGATTGCTGCGGAAGCCGCACTGACTTTCTGGGACCACTTCTTAAAGATATGACATAAAGGCGCAATAGAACGATTTTAGCCAGGATTTAACCGGATGTACACGCCGCTGGTGAGGTCATCAGATGACATGTCTTCAATCACAGCAGTGAGGAAGAGAGCAAAAAGGGTGGGTGCAAGCTCACAGCCTTGCTTGACTCCATGCAACGAGGTCCAGAAAATGGACACAAGTTACACAAATACACACCACAGCCAAAACTTGAACTTAAACCTGACTTGTCCTCAGTTTTCCCACGAATAGATTGCCGACTGGACTCTTACGGATCTGAACGAAACTTACATATGTTGGTGTAAGCTACCAGACAGGCTGTCTGCAAAAGCTACATACAAAGGAGCCTGTGTAAAGCCATGTAAAAATAAATCGGTGATCATTCCCTGCCTGACTCTCCAGCATGCCTCCCACCCAGTTTTGTTTTTCTGTTTCATTTTCAAAAAACGGGGGAAAATGTAAAAACGCGCCGAAAAATTACACATGAAACAATCCCAAACTTATCAGTCTGAGAATAAGCGCATTCCCATGTCTTTATTTTTCACTGGTTTTAATACTAAAAATACAAGCTTCCTGTCATAACCAAGTAAATAGACCAAGTCCAAAGGACGTCTTAATAACAGGGTTCGACTGTACTAGTACCCTACAAAACCTTGCCGTCTAAGGACGTCTTAATAACAGGGTTCGACTGTACTAGTACCTTACAAAAACTTGCCGTCATTTAAACACGTGGACATTTCTTACCAAAAAAACAAAAACAAAACCTCCCCCACCCTCCCTTTAATATTGGCAAAGGATGATCACAAATTATTTTTTTACATGGCCTAATGTGCGAGTCAAGTCAAAATTCATCCGGATAGGGAAAACGTACAACTTCAAGCTTGTGGAGGCAACATGCATGTTTCCCCCAAACGAGGGAAAAACATGTTTTCTCCAAATAGCAACCTGGGGGATAGTTAGCCCTGGGTAAGTAGTGAACGCAGGTATCGGTGCAATTTCAGCTCATAAAATCCAGCATAGACCTACATAATGTCTGAGAATATCCTGGAACATGCCGGATAAACTTCATCATCACTATCAATCAGTTCAGGGCCATGTATAGACCATGGAGGAAGGACGGTGTATAGACGAAGGAGTGTACGTTGAGCTACATGTACGTAGCTCTTGAGTAGAGTATTATTTAGTAATTTCTTCTTTACGAATTTTGGACGGGATCGATCATAGGGCCTAATGGGGTGTCGGTCACCTCTTTCGACCAATTTTTGAAGAGGCTTGTGCTTGTAACTCCCTCGAGCATGGACAGGGCGAAGTGAAAATGGGGTGATGAGGAAATGGGGCAAAGTATTTAGGGGCGACGAGGAAATGGGGTGAAGTGACTTTAATAAAGCAGAAGACGAACGCTCCACATAATATACATGTATTAACCATATGCTGCCTGGGAGCCCAGTTTTCATGCACTGTAAGAGACCCCAAAATCGGACAAAAGAGCTGGGCCTCCTAACAAAAGACCGTAATCTGAACAAAAGACCGAGCTGTTGGGAATTGGCAACATTTTTCATGTTGTCAATAGCGGACGAAATCCGTCATTGTTTTGAAAGATTATACCACTATTTGTGGCATTCAGCACGAGCAGCTAGATTACCACCGGGACAAAAGTGCTCCAGTGGTGAGCGACACAATACCGCTGCACGCTAATCTGGCCCCTATTTAAAAGACGCTAGTAGTGCATTGTGCCAATTTCGGGAACAAAAAGAAAATTACATAACACTGTACAGTCTGGGTCCGACGGCATTTAGCGTCAACAAGCGTCAACAAAGCGTCGATTAACAAGTTATTGAAGCATATTTATGCAAAGATCTTTTATATAAAATGTTAATTGGGATCATACATGTCAAATTTAATGTATTATATCTATCTGAAATGATATTTGAGTGTTGAAATTTGATTAACAAAGTTGGGCCCGTTTGTGCAATCCGACCGGCCGCCATCTTGTTTTAGCGTGGACCGTGACGGCAGAGGAAAGAAAGATGGCAGTCCCATACAATGCGCCAAATTCTGTTTTCCTGCGAGAGTCTGGAAGCAAATTTGGTGTTTCTCTTATACAGTGGCAAGAGTTAGAGTCTCTAAAATATAATAAAACCACTTTTAAATCTGTAGAGGGTATTTTCAAGTTGCTGACGCTTTGTTGACGCTACTTGTGTGTGTTGACGCTTGTTGACGCTAAATAGCACGACTGCACAATCTGGGCTCTTTTTGTTCAAGGGAGCGGAGCGGACGTCGGACCCCACAGTTCTGGCATGTCTTGGAGTAATAGTGAAAAGGCCCCTTGTCCAGTTAATATTGTACATATAATTTTTTGGGATAATTATGTTTCAATAACTTGTTGACGCTACTTGACGCTTGTTGACGCTAAATAACATGACCCCCTTTGACAAGGTTGAAAATACTCCGGCGTCAATCATAGATCATGTTGTCTGTCGGATCGGAGTAGCCACCAGACAGTCATTCATATCGTGTGGGTGGGTGTAAACGTCCAGTAAATGAAGCTATGACTTTTTGAAGAATTTTGAAAATGGAAAATCTTGAAAATCACCCGGTTTTACGTCATGCACAATTCTTCTGATTACTATTTTACACCCGGCAGCAAGTGGTAAAACCATGGAGGTGGAATAGGCCTAGAAATGGAAGTAGGCTAGGAAGAGAACTAGACCTAGACCTGACAATGCCATGGTTCTCAAAATTCCAAAGACTCACCAAAAATATCTTCTTCACCGCCGAATGGCTTTCTTAAATAAAAAGGCAAACTTTTGGGGTTGTAGTGATATTTTTGACTGCAAAATCTGTCAATATCCGACCGTTTTCACTCGACATACGAACGACACTTTCAGACTTTAAACTTTCGACGCCTCCACCATATTTAAATACGCGTGCCTAGATTTTGCTGGCGTGGAGGAACATGGTCCTCTAATGAAACACGCAGGAGAGGCTCATATGTAGTCAGGGCATAAGACGTGTGACGTTTTGGATATGCCCCTGGGCCGTTTTCTAACACTCATTCGTCTCCATTCAGATTCGTCTCCAAAACTAATCCCTGATTGTAGGCATGAAGCATTTCAATTAATTTAAATCACCATCAAGTTTGGATCTTTTGCATCTAACTTGATGTTTTGTGGAACTATCTGACTTACTATCACGTTTACAACTTCAAAGTCAGGTAGTGAGAAAAAGTTGAAGCCTGAAACCGAGCCGAAGTCGAGTATTGGAAAACTGCACGTGTGCTATCAATGACTGTTTCCTGGTCAATACGTCGTGTGCCGCGAATACACATGCACATGGGCTGCTCCGTGATCATGTTTCATTTGAGAACCTAACGTTGAGGCCTGTTTACACGTACTAGGTGTAGTGTATTCCGACTCGTTCATTGATAGTGTATGAAAAACTGTGGTAAGTCTTGGATCCATCATGTGTTTTCTTAAACCTTATAGATAAAATACGTGAAATTTATTAAGCACACAGCATGTTTCTTTTGTAATCTGTAGATATCTCATGGGACAGTTGGCAAAAAAGACGAAAGACAGGTGGTCATGGCCCCTGCGAACATGGCGAAAGAAGAGAAAGTTTGAGTTGGGTCGCCCACCCGCCAAGGTAGGCCTAGGTGTTCTCTGGAACAAAAGAAGTACTTGTAGGCCTAAGGCAGAGTGCCAACATTAGTTTCTTGTCCCTGTAGGGTTTATAAAGTATATGTATCTTACCCGGCAAATTTCTGACATATCCGATAAATTTGCTGCTTTCTGTATTCTCAAAACACCACCAACGTCTAGTGAGGGTGGCCGCACCTCAAAGTCCAAGGTCGATGACCTTATTGGTTGAGATAATAGGCCTACACCTAAACCCCAAATTTCTAGGGCCGCAGGATCTGTAAATTCTTAATATGCAAGGCTGTTTTGAGGACGTGTGGCCTTGTTTATGAGTGAAGTAATTACATTGCCACTCCAGCTGAGTACATGTACATGTAGTGGGTATTGTCGGATGTAACTTGACGATTTACTAACTGGACTCGGGACAACTTGTATGCTGAGACACCTTGACAGATGGGACAGTTTTCCTAGTCATCTGTTAAGACAACTCAACTGTTCAAGACTTGAATACGACAGAGTTTGGGGCGTTCATCACAGATTGGTGTACATGTATGTGGTCAAATTTGCACGTTATATTACGTTACGATTTGACTCACTGGGCATGGCGTGCATTGGGACCTGGTGACTCAGCATGCACAGGACCTGTGGATGGCACTACAGCTGCCCCAACCAGTGCAGTGTGTTATGATTCGACTCACTGGGCATGGCGTGCATTGGGACCTGGTGACTCAGCATGCACAGGACCTGTGGAAGGCGCTACAGCTGCCCCAACCAGAGCAGTGTCTTATGATTCGACTCACTGGGCATTGCGTGCATAGGGACCTGGTGACTCAGCATGCACAGGACCTGTGGATGGCGCTTCAGCTGCCCCAACCAGTGCAGTGTGTTATGATTCGACTCACTGGGCATGGCGTGCATTGGGACCTGGTGACTCAGCATGCACAGGACCTGTGGATGGCGCTTCAGCTGCCCCAACCAGTGCAATGTGTT